AGGGTGTTTGTTCTTGCAAATGGATATCCATTTGATCTCATTTCTTTAATCTGATCTCTCTTTAAGGATTTATTAAGGGAATGTGACAATGTATTGTCAAACCACATATACCAAGAGGCACTGGACCATGTCACAGAATGAATAGATGGAGAAACCACTGAATAACCTGGAGGGGGATAGGCACACCACACAAGCTCAATTACTCAAGGTAAATTTTGGGATATTTACAGAATGAAGCCGAAATTATACACAGGGTGTTCCATAAAAATTGTATTCCCACATACTTGAACCCTCAACCCTTATAAACAGATGTCTCAAAAGAAATTGTAGAGATTATCCAAAGTTACATTTCTCTCTCATATGTACGAGTGAAGGTCTTCTTATTTGCTATTAAAAACCCTCTCGTAGTTATACAGTACAAATGTATTTCTCTAATATATTTTACATTCAAAATATTACAAGTTCAATGCCAACGGAGAATGAAAAATGCAACTCATTTAAAATTATCAGGCGTAATTGCTCAGATTATTAAAGCTCAAAGCTAAAACTAAAAGCAAACAAAGTGACTGTAAGTAAATGAAAGTATAATTTCTCCAAAAAGGATATTCCTGTACAAATAGAGGATGGTCAGAGCCTGCTTCATACCATGCAGACACGGGGAGAGAAAACTCTGACAAATTTCTTGGTATTGGGTCGAGACACCATCCGGCAAAACCTTCACTTCAATTATGAAACTTTGACAAAACGACTCGCAGATACCAAGGGCACATTAGAGAGCTGTCTCCTGGAGTTGTCACAGTATGGTGACCGCACAGATCAGGTGAGAATGAGTACCTTTATTCCAAAAAGTTGGGAAATGATGCTTGCACTGATTTTGAGGAAAAACACTGAAGATTTTTTTCAGAGTCCAACAATTTATGCAATTTTTAAACTATCTCTTCATATGACTTGAAATAAGAAACAATTAAGGCACAGGGTGAGCCAAAAATGTTATTCTAAACAAATGTTAAAAACTAAGTCATTCAGCATTGTTTAAGATCATATTTATCACCATTAAACCTTTTCAATTTTCTTCATCTTAGAAGTATGGCTATATATTATACTAAAACTGAAGGGATTTTAGAGTAGATCACAATTATGGTATTGTTTTTCTGATTCTTTTCTCAGAAAATTAAAAATGGCTGGAATAGGCCATAACTTAGAGATATTATACTACAATGATCTATTTATTGAAGGGAAGAGTGCGATGGTAAATATTACATTGTGACTGTACAATTCATGATTTATATATGTTCGTTGGGATTCCCTACACCTTGGAGTTGCCAATTTCTAGTTGTAAATTGTGAATTGTAGGTTCTACAACATGAGTCAGAACATCCCCAGGTTCTACAACAACATGATTCAGAACATCCCAAGGTGCTACAACATGAGTCAGAACATCTATCACCAGGTTCTACAACATGAGTCAGAACATCACCAGGTTCTACAACATGAGTCAGAACATCCCAAGGTTCTACAACAACATGAGTCAGAACATCCCAAGGTTCTACAACAACATGAGTCAGAACATCCCAAGGTTCTACAACAACATGAGTCAGAACATCCCCAGGTTCTGCAACAACATGAGTCAGAATATCCATCACCAAGTTCTACAACAACATGAGTCAGAACATCCCCAGGTTCTACAACAACAGGAGTCAGAACATCATCAGGTTCTACAACAACATGAGTCAGAACATCCCAAGGTTCTACAACAACATGAGTCAGAACATCCCCAGGATCTACAACAACAGGAGTCAGAACATCATCAGGTTCTAAAACAACATGAGTCAGAATATCCATCACCAGGTTCTACAACAACATGAGTCAGAACATACCAAGGTTCTACAACAAAATGCGTCAGAACATCATCAGGTTCTACAACAACCCGAGTCAGAACATCATCAGGTTCTACAACATGAGTTGTTTGGTTGTTTGCAAGCTAACGAAATATTGATGAAATAGTGATTAATAGAATTTATTAAGTAAATTGATCAGAAGTATTTGAATTTATAGTACCTACGAAAACATATATTTCGTGAAAAATATCACAGACTCTCGATAGCTAATACATTTTTATAGTCTCAGGGTGTTATTTAGATGGAAATCGGTGTTTGTTTCAAGGTTACAATGAATGTGTGCAAACCATCTTTTGTTGAAATGCCTTGTTAACTTTATGTAAAGATATTCATTTGCAATAACTTTGTAAAGTACATGTAGTCATTTAATAAGAGAAATCTTAAATGGATGAATTGTGGTGCCCCAATAAGTGGAGAGTATAAGATTTCTACTTGGCGAATAAATATGAACACTGTTATTTCAATACAGGATATATCATGCAAAAAAATTGGAGATTGGTTAGCTCATTACATTTGGAAGATCTTAAAGATATTCAATTAGTGGTTCTTACACAGTTTGCCTCTGAGAATAACAAGGCGTCTGTTGTTGGTAAACATTGGATTTCTTCTAAAAATTCAAAAATTGAAGTAGCATTAAGCGGTTCTTTTGTTTATTGTATTTTTGAGTTTTTGAGGGCTTCCATTGACATTTAATCATGGGGTTATGGAAATTGTTTTTTCTTGTCAAATTTAACCAGTAATTGCATTATTCATTATGTAGGCATTTTAGTTTATGTGGACATACCTGAATCGGTGCATTTTCTGTTGTGTTATTGCCAACTCAAGGGTATGATATTGAGAAAAATATCGATTATGATCCTTTTAGCTGTGATCACTTAGGTTTTCATACTCTACAGCTACTATTTTTATTTGCATTAAACATGTTGAAAATCATCACTCACTATAATATATCAATCAGTTCTGTTAATCAAAATCAATGTGTTAATATTGAGACAAAATTCAATAAAAAAGTCACATTTGCACTCATTGGAATTGTGCGCTCATTAGAGATAATATTACAGGTATATGTATTACATTTTTTATATCTTATATACAACAGTAAAACCTGTTTTAGTGCACACCTCTCTCTAGTTATCACCACTTTAGATAGATTTCACATCGACTCCTGTATATAATCCCATCTAGTTAGAAAATACCTACCGTGAACACTTTTTGTGGCTCAATAGGTGGTCACTATTTACAGGTTTTACAGTATTTGAATTTATTGGAATATATGTAAATGTGCCTTTATTTGTGATCGATGTACAATGGACTTGATGTTTCAATACTGAATGCATACATTTTTGGCTTTTGCAAAATATATATTGTCACTAGTCCACAGTAGGGGCAATAGGAATTAGCCACATCCAAAAATGGAGACAAAATTAATGTTTATGTTCAGGATTGAAGTGAGTCAACAGGTATATGCATAATTATAAAACTTTATAAATCGCTTGATAAAATGAATAGTCACATGGGTTGACCTTGAAATGGCATGTGTAAATAGTTATTTGCAATAGAAATAAATAAATCCGTACATCAAACTTTCTTTATTAGTTTATTTGGTCCAGACTTGAATACAGCATCAACTCCAAATACTTCAATGTAGTTCAAGGCCAGCTATTATCAGAAATTATAACATTAATTAAAACCTCATCTAATCCCAAATACCTTTGAACACGTAAACTTGAACACATAAGGATTCCAACTCCTAATTGCTATAGCCAATTCATCTTCGAGAACAAATTTTATTCTATTTGAGAGCCTATATCGGCATGAATTCAAACTGACAGAAAGGTAAAAGGTCGGGCAATTAATCCAATTCATGAATACCAAAGGATGCTACATCCCGGGTTTAGAGTGTTTTGCATTTCGTTCAGTTTATGGCGCCTCTCACTGGCAAAAGTTAAAATAGCACTGGTTTCGAGACTATTTAAATACGGGTCAAGGGATGCAGGATAAATGAGTCGGAGGATGATATATCTCCTGGGTTTTATACAGCATTTTATTGTTTTAAGTTAAAATCTGGGCTGTAGCCGGGATTTGACGGGGGGGGGGGGGTCATTTTTATAAAAATCCAAGGGATTCACTTTTGAAATGGCCAAAAAATGACCAAAACCCTTGAAAAAGTGCTCAGCTGCATGGTTTTGAAAGCATTTTTGGCAATGGTAGAAGGTCCTGGCTACGGGCCTGTTACATAAGTTTGTTAATGATAGATTCAAACTGATAGCATGGTCGGTCATACGGGGGTCCTATCCTTAAATCCATAAATACTCTGATAGGACGCTGTCCCGGGGTTTTTGTGTCGTTTCGTTCAGTAAATAGCACTGGTTGCGAGACTATTTTAGTACGTGTTTCGTATCCATATATACTCTGATAGGACGCTGTCCCGGGATTTTCGTGTCGTTTCGTTCAGTAAATAGCACTGGTTGCGAGACTATTTCAGTACGTGCTTCGAAAACCATCAGCACGGGTTTAGGAAACCCGGGTTCTGTCAGTGTTTGCCATCGACCCTTTCTCCGAAATAGGGTAAACTATGACAAACCCAAAATTCGAACAAATTATGGTAAAGCTTTGATATCTTTTACTGCACCATCAATTTGGAATTCATTACCTATTGAAATAACATCATCTGGAAGTATTTTTATTATGAAAAAAGAATTGAAAAAATATTTTATCAATCAATAATATCAATTTCAGTTTACCATAGTGGGCATTATATGACACATTCTTAGTCAGACATAGATAGTAGCATTCATCACACAAGCAGATCCCCAATCTGTACATTTCATGTTTGTCAATAAACACGGGAATATACACGAGAAGTGTCACCCGTTTACTGTACATTTGATGTTGAAATATATATTTATAAATGAATAATTAAATAAAAAAATATATAAAAATTAATTTGCCTCCATATTTCACGATGATCGTATTTTCTCACTCGAACGTGCTAAATCATATGGATCGGGTTGGGAACCATGTATTAGAAATGTCGAAATCTCAATAGATAATGAATCTATTAAGATTTGGAGATACCATCATAATAAGTGATAATTGCAGATAGCAACCAAGGACAACAATAATGATACCTTACAAGGATTTAACGATCTTATATTTGACTATCACGGCAACTTATGGTTAACAGCCCCGGCTGGTCTCATTGCACCCCATCCTTTCGAAAGTTCAAAAAAGGTAAACTACTAAATTATTTGCTTCTTCTAAACTCTATCTTCGCAATTTTTCTCGTCAAGATATCCTTCAAAATTTAAGGGACTGGTTTAGATGTATTGTTTAATTGACAGCGTATGATTAATATCTCCGTTATTTCAAGGAACCATTTGGAAGTGTGTACTGCTACAAAATGACTGGCGAACTCACAAAGGTTTCCACTGGTTATGTTTTCCCAAATGGTATAGCAGTACAACATGATAAAGATGGCACCCCGATGAAACTGATTTTTGGAGTCGATAGAAATGCAACTCTCTGGAGCTTCGATATCGTTGGCCATTGTCAGATTGAAAACAAGACAGTTTGGGGATCTCTTCCAGGTACTTTTCATGCATTAGATCTCAAGAACATTCTTATTTTTCTCAGTGTAACATAGGATCTCAGCTTACATTTTAGAGATACAATTTAAGAAGTCAAATATAGGTTATTGACTAAATGAATATCATTGATTGTTTTCTAATTATAGTCAATAGTAGTCCAGACGGAATGGATTTTGATGAAGAAGGAGACCTTATAGTTGCAAATTATAACACTGGTCATCTGTATGTCTTCGGTCCTAATGGAGGTTCCCCAATACTTAAAATAAAGTGCCCTTTTGTGTACGCTACCAACATTCACTTCAAGCCTAACTCAAAAGAGCTCTACATCACTGAAAGCGAGTCCAATAGTTTGTGGAAGATTCAGTGGAAGAGCAAGGGAATGAAGCAATATTGTGAAACACCCGAGTTAAGGGGAAGATACGGTCGTGGTGGTGGATAATGGATATGGTAGATAAGGATATTAGATTTGATTCCGTTTGCCTAAAACTGAGTGAATAAAGGTATTGCAAGTATGCAGTGATTTGTAATTGTTTTTATGTGTCCTCAAAACAATTATACTTTCCTGTTAAGTATGTATGATATGTATGATAAATATTGCAGTATATTTATTAGTAAATGTCATTTCACCCTCAAAAGAAATATTAGATAGAATTGTTCTTCTTTGTAATCGTGCTTTGTGACCCCCTACACAACAATCGTATCAATTAATTTTATGTTATTCGTTATGCTTTACACGTTTAGTTACATAAAGCAGGCCATTAAAATACAATTATAGTTTCCTTCCTGTCAAGAACACAAGCCTACCTTTGTCTTATTTATGTATTATAAACATTGCAGTATATTTATGAGTATATGTCTTTTCAACCTAAACAGAAATATAAATAGAATTGCTCTGCTTGGTAATCGTGCTTTTTGATCCGCTGCACATAAGTTATATCAATTACTCTCTGGTTACATAAGCAGTTCGTGTTATTGAAACACGGATATTCAATTATTTTTATTTCAACATTTTAACAGGCCTATATCATTTTAAACTGCGTAATTGAAAATTTACTTGACATAACACTTTACTGCATGACTTAAAGAAATAACCACTTTGCGTTGTTGGTTGGTATAACACTTGTAGCTATTGGCAAAGTAATTGTTGATTCTCTCTTCTCATGCAAGTGCATTAATTTGTATTATTTCAACATTCATATACTTTGTGGGCCTATATCATTTCAAACTACATTTTTACTACAAACATCCGAGGTGACCGAACATTGGCTGAACTGAACATTTACTTGACCTAACATTTTACCGCATGACTTTAAGAAACAACCAGTTTGCGTTGTTGGTTGGTATAACACTTGTAGCTATTGATTAATAAATCTTGTTCTTATAAGACATTCAAAACAATAAGAGAGTGGTGAATAAAACAGTGAATAATATACAATTATTGACCTCTCCAGAGGTTTACTGTCAAAATTATATCCCGAGACTGTAAACCGAGACCGTAGACCGAGACCTAAGACATCAGGGGTCCGGAGGGTGCGTGGTCTTAACCGGACCATATTTTCTGTATTTATAAACAATATAACCCAGGACTATATAGACTGACGGACTATAAATACGTTGACAGTTCTAGTAAACGGACTAAACTATCTAAGTAAATATAGTCCATCGGCCTTGTCTTGTATTCTAGATGATATAGTCCCGGTGTAAAAGGGAAGGAGGTCCTATCAAATTATGGTACTACTTTCCATTGATTTATATGGTGGCCTAAATACAACTCTTTCCCTCATTATCCTGTACACAATCAGGGCCAGTAAGGGGCTTTAAGAAAGGGGACCATAATCCTCAGGGGACCATAATTTATTTACACCGGACAATATTTTCCAGGACTTTCCGGTGTGAAAGAAATTATGGTCCCCCAGGGATTATGATCCCCCTTCTTTAGGGCCCTTACTGGCCCTGATTGTGTATACGATAATAAGGGAAGAGGTCACCGTATAAATCAATGGCGAGTAGGACCATAAATTGATAGGACCTAATACCCTTTTACACCGGGTTAATACCTTGCACTTTCAATGATTCCACAAGGTGTATTCCCTGGCCCCTCGCACCATATACACAGGAAAGACTTTTCATGTTTACAACAGAGTGCGGACGCTGTATAGAGTGTCACACACAGGGGCTCGTTTCCATGGATATACGATGCCGAACTGTTTTACATAACTACCGAGACTAAGCATCAAAATAAACTAATCAAGAGTAAGTGGTAAAATATGGACTATACGTATTTATTATCATTTTTATTAACCATCCATACAATTCAAAAGAAAACAAAAATAATTTTTGTACGGTATTCTAATATAATCCACCAGGCTGTCAGTGCCGTAACACATCATTGTTTTTTATTTGATTCTACTTAAAGTTAGCCATTCACACCGGTAAACACGTACGAGTGCATGTTAAAACTGACACGTGTTTAACTACTTGAAGGCAGAATCAGATCTATGGGGGTGACAAAATTACAGGCAACATGTACAGTTGACCTGCCATTCTATTCCTTACAATCTCAAATACAATATCTCCCAAAAGATTCACGATATGTTATAAATTGGTGAAGTTATAATGGATTCAAAGTGCAAAAATGGGTGAAAATGTTTTAATTCTCCAAAATAATAAGAATGGTAACCATTCTTATAGAAAAATAATACATTATCGTGAAAATCTTTAGTTTTCCTGAAATAAAGTGTGTACTTAGGAGATTTTTAGAAAATATACATAAAAAGGTTAGGTTGCTCGCTAGATGTGATACTATCTTGAACAGAGACCACAGCTTCTTCTACAAAAGTTTAGCATGTATCCTGGGTTGTTCGTGCACTCCCCCATTTCGGCCCAAGACGCACAATACGCATTTTCGTCCAAACAGTTACCTAAATATTAGATATTAGTAAAAATAGATGGCACTATCCACAATATTCAGTTGGTTGATTTCGTTCCATTAAAAGTGAGTGTCATTCGTTACTATCTCGAGGCCCCAAGGAAATAATGGAACCGATCGGAATAAAATACCATATACAATCTAGATGTTAGACTGTTTATATGTGAATGAATGTCTAGAAAAATAAGTGATATCTCAAGAGCCAAAGAAAAACTAATTATAACTTTTTGCAATTTCTAATTTGCACTCAGAGTTTAAATGTGTAACTGGATCTAAGTATACAAATACAATTTGTTTAATTTACGGACCGGGATGAAAATTGTTAGCTTTACCATGATTTCTCGAGCTGCTTTTACATGTGTTACAACTTTTCTTGCAATTGTTTTTCACATAGTTGCTACTAGTACAGTAATTCTGCTGGCTCCATTCCTTACATTCCCGATCCATGTCTTCACACCCTGTTAAAATAAAACAACGAACGTCTTGGTCGTTCATTCGAGGAATTGAAACTGGAAACAATGAATGATCTGGTAGTACTTTATTAAAATTGACTTTAGTTGCTTGTAGCCTTGTAGGGGACCCTAGACATGTGAAATGGTTTGTGACAGGTTGTGAATCAGTCAGCACATTTTATCAGAGTTTAGTCAGAGTTGAAACTATTCAATAGGTCAATATGAGTTGGAGCAAAAATTTCACCATATAATTTTAGAAGAATGGTTAACTAGATCCATAAACTTTATATCATAAAAAGCCTTTTAATGGATTTATGGGCCATTTGACTCGAAGGATCATTTGTGAACTTGGGTTTGAGCCTATCGCCACAATTTGATTGATTTTGCGGCTATTGTTCGTAATGGAAATAAAGAGAGGATCTTTATATTATATAATCCATTGTATTAAGCTCTCTGTGTAGTTCTTAGAAATATGTATTAACTTTATATTTCAAATATCATTGAGATATATCCTCAAATCCATCAAATTGCTTTAATTTACATTGGCGGATCCAGAAGCAAGAGAACAAGAGGGGTGCCCAAATTTTGAGTCAGGAAAATAAATTCCGCGCTTGCGCTGAAAATATTTCTGGGGCCCTAGATACAAGGACTGGGCCCATATTTTGAACATTTAATTTTTCGAAGATTTGGCCAAATGATGCTCCTTCGTTAAACTTTTTGTTTTACACTGACTTTCAAAAAGCTTTCGCAAAGAAGCCAGTTCCATGAAGATGACACTCCAAACATTCTTATAATGTATGTTTAGTACTGAGAACGTAAGCGGGCTTGTGGCGCAATGGACAACGCGTCTGCCTACGGAGCAGAAGATTCCAGGTTCGAGTCCTGGCAAGCTCGTTATTTTGGTACGCTCCATGTTAGAAAGCAACACAATAGGTTGAAATGTATTTTATTTTAAGGAATTTACAGTTATTACAAAGAAGAGTACATTCTTTTAAGATTGCTTTGGGAGAATTGACATATGACAATCTATCCAAAATCAGTGATGTGCAAAACACGACTGACTGTCACATGCAGCGCACTAAAGCTGATCTATTCACTCATCCAATAGTTGAATATTCACAAAAGAACTGATCGCTAATTATAAACTAATTCATCCTCCTAAGCAGGTGAACAGAATCCGTACCTCCTTCTCCCCCCCCCCCCTGCTATGACCAATTTGGAAGAGTCCGATTAAACTGAGTCACGTGATGTAATTATGCACCGATGACGTATACATGATTGCTGTTGCAGTGTTGCGACAGCGAATCAAATTGCGAGTTCTAATCGGGGAAATGCTAACTGCTTATAGCAGGGTGTAAAAAGAAAGAAGATATTCTTGATTTTGAAGCCCTGTGATCGGAGGATGAACTTATTACACCCACTCACTTCTCAATAAACTTACCTCATAGTCAATACAAAAGAAATCATAATTGGATCATGGGCTATTTACCTTTCATAAGAGTCAATGCTGGGTTTAAGTTAGATAAATCATTCGTACTGGATCTTGTGAGAACTTATAGCCTCGGGCCAAGGCCTTCTGCTTTTATTCCTCCTGAGACCCAGTACTCATAGTTTATCCATAAAGGAAACAACTCGACTGCAAAGAATCTCCAATCATTTCCTTACCATTCAATTCAAACCGAATCGAAAGAAAATTTCATATTAATGCGTTAATTCGAATGTGAATGGACTGTCTAAAATAAAAAATCAGCATTCAAATCAAAAATATATTCGCAAGCAAATATCTCCCTAAAATATAAAAAATAGTCACATTGAAACTACCTGACGAGGAAGGCGTATGGGTTGTTGGAGCCGTAGCTCTGACGAAAGATGTCGCAGGAGTTCCTTTATTGCCTCGTCTTCCCGTTTTCCTTCCGCCATTTTCTACTGCATTCACTCCTTCAAGTCCACCCCCATTATCCACTCCTCCTTTGCAATTCATTTTGAGCTCTTGACTTGCTTCTGCACCTGATATACATTGACAATACATTGAATGGGGTCGTTTGAATTTTATTGTTCAATGCCGTATGTTTGTGATACACTTATAAAATGAGTTCATCAGTGGCTGTTGGAGTGTTAAGTGCAATTTTGTCTGAATCAGACCTCATATTCAAAGCTAACATACTATATGTTACGTGGAATCTGCCAGATGCTGAATTTATATCGCACTAGAGGTCAGGTTTTACGTTTGCCAGACTAACCAATGGTTATGCCAGCTAAAAAGGTGAAAATGACATATGCGAGGAACATCAAATATGGGCGATCTGTAAATTATTGACCTACTTCTACTCTTAGTACACCGTTTGATATATTCGTTATCGCAGGGAAATATTTCCCGTATGATGTCATAGAGTCCTGGGTCGTAACTTTTCAGTGCATTTCTGTTACTGATTGGTCCTGCGGTTCCATCCGGCTGGGCGGAATGACGGTTTACATTGTGATAACTTTGTACACCCTCCGCCTTAAAACGCAAGCATTGCAGTGTTACATGTAGATGTTAATATGTATTTGAAACAGACACTTTAGTAACTTAGGTAATGTTCTGTTCCCTTCTAAACTGGTTTTCCGCGGGTGATCATTACAACTAGTACTACTAAATCTGGCGAGTAAGTACTACGAAACTGACAATTATTACAGAGAGTACCATAATTCTACAGTTCACGTACAAGTTCTCTTAAAAACGTTAACCTCTCTTGCCCTACCCAATATTCCTGGACTGTACTCATAGAGTACGTCTTTGCCCATCTTCCGGCAGACTTTGCAGATTTATATAAACTTGTTAGGCGGTTGTGAAATCCAGGTATGGCCACACTTGCGCCTATTAGATGTAAAGCATGGACGTACTCGTGAAGGTTAATATCTTGAGACGGGTAACGGTCGTTAGCCAAGCACAACGCATTTTCTTCCCCCGCTGTAGAGATGGGGATACCTCGAGTGCCGCCAAGACCCCTGGCGCGTAGGTTCCACGAGTCGGCCAAGAAACTGTGTTCAGGAATGCTGGTGGTGTCTTCATTTATTCCAATCAGGGCCACCCGACCACCACTCTTATAGAAAGCGTTTCGCACATCATATCTGTCTGCCAGGATAAATCTCAACACATAACAGGCTCTCTGAAGAGCACTGTCACTAACCCTGTTTGAACCTGAAAACATTACCTCACTGCATAAAGTTAGGGATGGAACGGTTGCCCGAATCTATCTCTTTCCGCAGTACTCTGCCGCCTCGGTGGGGAACTCGAACAATAGCCTAGGTAACACGGAACGGAACACATCAAATTCTGTTCAATTTCTGAGATAATTCTGTTCCGTTCCGAAAATGTTCAGCATTGAAGGCCTGTTTGCCATTTCGTAATTGTTGAAAATACAATTAACCCCATTAGAAAGTCAAAAACACCCCTCCCTCTTGATAAACCCCGACTTTGGCTCTAATACAGACAGTACTTTACATAATACAGTACTTACTGACCACGGGAATATCATATGCTTCCGTATATTTTTGGTAAAAGGAAGTCAGTCCATCGGGAAACATGTGGGCCCCGTCACGTAAGATAATTGGGACACCCCGAATATTGTTACAGCTGTGAGTATTTGTTGCACTCCCAGGTCTATTACCACCGTAACCACCTCTTTCATCTGAGAGAAATAGACTCATGATTAAAACCAGGAATGAAGATCAATTAAGTTACGAAATTAGTCAGATGTATTTATTGTTTTACTAACAATATCTTGTTTAATTTTCACTTTACGCAAACTTATTCAACAACGTATGAGCAAAGATGTAAACAATGAACTATTACGTCTTTTTATCATTTACTTAACTATAGGCTTGCTAGATATCGATATACTGTACCGTGCGATGCGAATTGTGTCAAAAATCTGGCTTCATAGGAAATGTCGCGTGTGCCATTTATGGAGGATACACCTAGTATAACTACAATGTATATATTAAGATTTTGATTAAATGTAATAACTCATATGCGAGTAGGTAGTTACCAGTTTCACCCCCATGTGGCTTATTCGGGTCAGATAGTATGGTGGGTATAGAAGTTCCGTTTAACTTAAATATTCATCAGTTTTAGTGGTTCAATTTTCACATCACCCATATGTATTAATACTAAGTAGGTATCCAAATTGAAATGTTTACAAAAAAAGAAAATATTATCTATTCAATACAAGAAAAGATATTTCATTTTTGAGATTTTATAACTACGGGAAATCTCCCAGAACTAGAAGTCACATTTTCAAAAAATTAAATTTTCAAAGTTGATGAGCAATTTTCGAAACCATGTTTCGAGATGTAATTTTACATGTAGATTTCAAATATGACATCACTTTGTAACTGTTGAATATCTAATGTAGACGTAAATCAAGATTATTTCTACTCGCATCTAGTCTATTGAAAAATGGTCATTAAAATATGAATTTGAAAGTTGATCAAGCTATGTACGCTCCATATTATGGATTTGGTCTTTACAAGATAAATTAGAGTTCGAACTTCTTTGAAAAATGAAAGTCTAATGGATTATTATTTCAAATAAAGTATACTTCAGAAAACATGTATAACTAAATTGGATCACCTTAACCTTTTAAAGGAAATTTTATAGAAATACATTTTAATTTTTTCAAATGAAAATTATAAATAAGATTTGACCTTTTAAAAGAGATTCCTGGACCGGAAAGTTCTACGAATGAATTTTTTTTCAAATAAAAATTATAAATAGAATTAAACTTACCAAATGAGAATACAAAGAAATATAAGATGATCATGTTTCATTCACAAGCTTTAACCAATTTCCAATACACTATTATGTCAGAAATCCCCTTATATATATAGGATGTATTAATGCCTTTGCCAATTAGACATATTCACATCAATTACTTAATTCAATTAAGAAGGAGCCCTTCAGTCAATAGAATAATTTATGTGGCATTGAACGCCTTATGATGTATTCGTCTCATTTCACACATAGCTTCATGCATAGCCAATCCTGAAGCAATATGAACCATATGTCGTTTAAGGATTTAAGCCCTGGACCATGGGGGGGGGGATATTTTCCAAAGATGACCTGTAGTATTCGGCACGTTCGATGACCAATTTCATAAACAGACCTCATTTGTCATTGAAATAGATCTCACAATGTTCGCTGTTGTTTTATGAGTATTCTCTACAAGTTCGGATCGAGTAACTTCAATAGTATTACCGTATACGTAGTTTTGAAATGATGATGTTGAAATGATGTTAATTGAAACAAACGCCATTTCCATGATTTCAAATGTTACTTTACGCATGCGCAGCACTGAGAGCGCACGTGCTCATGATTGTTCACGTGATCACATCCTGCAATTTGATTGGAGATGATGCGGGAGATGATGTAATGGGGAATCCCCGAATACGAGAATATGAAAGAATTGTGGAAGCTACTCACCCGGAATTTCACTCCAATATACTTCTTAATACGTATGTGCCACCCCCAAGATCCCCTTTTTAAGCATTTTTTCCATGTCAATTTCCTCTCAAGATAGAATGTTTCCATGTTTAATTCCCCTGAGACTTATAATTAAAAATCAACTTTTCTAGTGATATATTCCAGGCTTCAGCAACTGATTTGACGAATTTAATCCAAATTAAAGAAAAACTGAATTTCGACCTAAAAATGGTACTTTCTTAGACAATTTTCCATGTTTTTTTCCTCTAAGATTGGCCAATTTCCATGTTTTATGCTCAAAGCCAAAATTGGCCGTGCTGCACATACCTACCCAAATTATTTGGAGTGAACTCCCAGGGGCTACTCACTTCTTCTGCCCTGGACTCAGTGCCTTGTGGACTGATGATCATTCATCAAACATGTTGTTTCAAACTTTGCACGAGATATGTAGCATCAAGTGCAATGTTTACAAGACAACACTTGCTGATTGGAATTATCAGCCACTGCATTAAGTCTTTGGCTTAAATTATTGTCACACATTGCAACATATTTTATACAACATCACTTAAAAGATGCGAATATATTTTTAATGAAACTTTCTGCAAGGGTCAAGTTGTCACCTTGACAACAATTCAACACTTACCATCTGACCTGCGTAAACAAGTGGCTTTTATATATGTTTACTCAAGTATGACATTTGATCAGCTTTTTCGGTTTTATTGGTTTCACAAGTATCCTAAAATGACTTTGGGTTCATTAGAGTTCATCTCTTCTGCAACCTTACGGTTATACTCCTTGTATACGTTTATGATGGTGGCATGAGTTTGTGCGGCTTCTATACGTTTATCATGGTGGCATGAGTTTGTGCGGCCTGTATACGTTTACCATGGTGGCATGAATTTGTGCGGCTTGTATTCGTTTTTCATGTTGGCATGAATTTGTGCGGCTTGTATACGTTTATCATGGTGGCATGAATTTGTGCGGCTTGTATACGTTTATCATGGTGGCATGAGTTTGTGCAGCTTGTATACGTTTATCACGGTGGCATGAGTTTGTTCAGATTGTATACGTTTATCATGGTGGCATGAATTTGTGCAGCTTGTATACGTTTATCACGGTGGCATGAGTTTGTTCAGATTGTATACGTTTATCATGGTGGCATGAGTTTGTGCAGCTTGTATACGTTTATCACGGTGGCATGAGTTTGTTCAGATTGTATACGTTTTTCATGTTGGCATGAGTTTGTGCGGCTTGTATACGTTTATCATGGTGGCATGAATTTGTGCGGCTTGTATACGTTTATCATGGTGGCATGAGTTTGTGCGGCTCGTATACGTTTATCATGGTGGCATGAATTTGTGCAACTTGTATACGTTTATCATGGTGGCATGAGTTTGTGCGGCTTGTATCATGTTGGCATGAGTTTGTGCGACTTGTATACGTTTATCATGGTGGCATGAATTTGTGCGGCTTGTATACGTTTCTCACGGTGGCATGAGTTTGTGCAGCTTGTATACGTTTATCACGGTGGCATGAGTTTGTTCAGATTGTATACGTTTATCATGGTGGCATGAATTTGTGCAGCTTGTATACGTTTATCATGGTGGCATGAATTTGTGCGGCTCGTATACGTTTATCATGGTGTCATGAGTTTGTGCGGCTTGTATACGTTTATCATGGTGGCATGAGTTTGTGCGGCTCGTATAAGTTTATCATGGTGGCATGAGTTTGTGCAGCTTGTATACGTTTATCATGGTGGCATGAGTTTGTGCAGATTGTATACGTTTATCATGGTGGCATGAGTTTGTGCGGCTCGTATACGTTTATCATGGTGGCATGAGTTTGTGCGGCTCGTATACGTTTATCATGGTGGCATGAATTTGTGCGGCTCGTATACGTTTATCATGTTGGCATGAGTTTGTGCGGCTTGTATACGTTTATCATGGTGGCATGAGTTTGTGCGGCTTGTATACATTTTTCATGTTAGCATGAGTTTGTGCGGCTTGTATACGTTTATCATGGTGGCATGAATTTGTGCGGCTTGTATACGTTTATCATGGTGGCATGAGTTTGTGCGGCTTGTATGCGTTTATCATTGTGGCATGAGTTTGTGCGGCTTTACTATAGCAACTATCTTAAGACTTGCCGCTTGAGTATGCGCAAAATTTATGCTGTATGAAAGAACATTCAAGAGGATTAGAGATTTTTGGACAACCCTCATATTCACATCATTTTTCAAAATTGAAAATCTTATCTTTATTTTAAATGTCTCAAATATGTTATGAATGTTAAGCTGTTGAAACAGAGAAGTCCATTAACATGATGAATCATCATGTTGGGAAAAACACATATGTGAATCTATTACACAAAAACAGGATATAATTATTTGTAATTAATTAATTAATTAGATGTTATCACGTTTTTTCATCTTAGTTCAATTTTCTGACATAGACATTAAATGAGTTTCAAAGCTTGTATTTCCCTTTTTATTTTGATAAGTTCAGCTTGTAATAGATTCTAACAAGGCATGAACATGCAAAATTACACCATTTGTTACGGAAGCCAACCGCCAAACACCAACCGCCAAAACATGCGAAACCGTTTCGGTAACAAAATGTCGGAACGTCGAAGGTACGATTTTTATTTTTGCTTATTTCCCTCGTTGTAGGCAGAATCCCCACGTCATTTTTTCCCACAAACGTATATCAGTATCACATGTTTCATAAAAGGTACATGTTTGCGAAAAAATAGCTCAGAAGGCAACAGAATCGTCGATTTAATTCCTCACTGAAGTTACATAAACAGTAAGGGTTAAAAGTGCAGATCTTAACTGCTTTTCGAAATACCGTTTCGGTAACTTAAGTGAGGGATTAAATCGACGATTCCGTTGTCTTCTGAACTATTTGTTCGCAAATGTGTACATTTTCTTAATCATATGATACTGATACACGTTTGTGATTAAAATGTCGTGGGAATTCTGCCTACAATAAGGAAAAACGAAAAATCGTGCCTTCGACGTTCCGACATTTTGTTACCGAAAAGGTTCCAGCGTAATCGAGTAGATCACCAGTGAATTGATTACCGCACCTTCAAAACTATTGATGCAACATGTGCTTATGCTGGTTTAATAATGGACTCGGCTCTAATATAACAAGGCACATGGTGAACAATATCGTATCTAAAACATAGCAGTGATGGCTTGATGACCCAGAAAGCAAGATGGCCGCCACAAGGTTAATAAGTTCTAGAACTTACCATGTAACGTGTATAAATATTTCAAGTGAATCCGTGAAGTGGTTTTCCTGTAATCGCGATGACAAAATTTATCTAAGAACTTCCAAAATGGCCACCAGAAAGCAAGATGGCTACCGAAAAGTTGATCAGCTCTAAAACTTCTTACCATGAAAAAAGGTACGATAAAAAGCTCAACATACAAACAAAATACAATTGATTGTATCTTTTTTATTGTTGGAACATTATGAGAACATGTACATGCAGGGGATATAATGGCAATGATCTTGGGAACTAATTACGTAAAAGGTAGCTTTGCAAGATAGAAATTGCATCCTAATTATGTTATGACTTAATATGAAGATGTACGTTAAGCAAATACTTCCACACGTCATAAAATAAATTGAAATTAAAGTTTGCTCATATGGTACCTGCTTATATATAGATATTAAATTTCACGTTCATGCAATAGTAAACAAATCTAATTGTTACAATGAACATACACTAGGTACTTAAGTACAATTTGTTTACATTAAGGTAGGACTAATGGCAAATTATGAGCTCATCTATTGTTGAACAAAGGCTGCATTTTTAAATGCCCGCGGCGCAAGTTAGTTGCATAGTATTTAATGAGTTTTCCTCCAAAAAATAATAAAGCCCTGCGGTGCAAACTACACACTCACAAGTTTTCAACAAAAACAGCTCATTCAAGCGCATTTACACCGCTTGATACCGCTGTGTCAGCCTTGTCAAGCTTAAACACGCTGGCTGGTCGTTGGTGCAACACAGGAGTTCTATTGCAATAAGCAGTTATGTCGTTCAAAAGAATTGTGTGAGTGTAGGTGCGCTTGGGCGAGCGGTTTTTGTTGAAAAAGCGTGACCATGTAATTTGCAAAACTGGGCTATTGTTCATTTTCGTGATACCAAGGGAGAAAACTCATTAAATATTATGAAACTGACTTGCAGCGTGGGCACTTCAAAAATACACCCCAAAGATACACAAACGAAAACTATTTAAGTACATCTTTACATATTCAACTGCACATACAACGATATGAAATTTTGTTATTGCACAATAATGTTCCATAGTTTCATATGTTGGCCTAATTACAACACTAGGCCTTTTTAGTTGATAAAAGTATAACCATATATCTATGGAGAGATATGACTATTATTTCTGTTACAGGCTTGGCCATTACTAATTAATATTGGATAATAATGGAGGCTTTAGCTTTTGATTATCAAGACTTTCGAATAGTTTCTCTTCTTTAATGTCGCAGTTAGCCCACTTAATAACTCACTACAGTGTGCCCCAAAAAATGTTACACTTACAAAAAGTTCAATATCTTTCATGATTTTGACCTTTCCCATAAAATATACTTAGATACCAAAATACCAGTCTTTTTCGAATAAATCCACACCATCAGATTCAAAATCCGTCCATGACTGGCTGCACAGGACAGTTTTTTAAAGACGCATTTGAAATCTGATTTGCGCTAACTTCTCAGTGGTTGCACAAGTAGTGATCAATTTTTTTTTGGTGTGAATGCTGTGGACAATGTTATCTTGATATGATCAATGATCCAGTTGTTTCTTTCCTGGATAGAAATTCATGCGCATGGGCAAGGCAGGGTACCCTAGATTTGCGTTGGAGAATATGTTGAGGAGACCACAATGTTTATGCGGATAGACCCAATGATCATATGTAAGACAAATAAGAAAGTTATAGAATTACCCAGTTAAAGGTCAAGCTTTAAAAACTGTTTCTCTTTTGTCATTTTGTCTATCCAATCATTTAGAAGTTTGCGCAAGTCAGATTTTACGATGGGGCACTAAAAGCTGTCCCGAGGAGCCAATCAAGGACAGATTTTGAATCTGCGTGATGGTGTCAAGATTTGTCTTTTGGTATCCAAGGTATATTTTAGGGAAAAAGTCAAAATTATGAAAGATATTGAACTTTTTGTGAGTGTAAGAATTTTTGAGATTCTCTGTACATGTATATTGCCACCATCCACATTCTCATCACTTTGAATGTCAATATTTGTTGGAATAATCACAAGACAAAATCGTATAGAATAACTTGCAATAAACTCGGTATTGACCTTGTTATTATGGTCGTAGTTGTGGTTATTATTGAGTAATGGTACAGGTATCCGATATGGTATTGCAGGGTATACTGGAGTAATGGTACAGGTATCCTTGGATTTTAGCCCCGAATACCGAGGTTTATTTTTTCAATTATCGTGTATTATTCTTTTGTGTTAATATAAGTTAACCATCTAACTATTGGTATGACATGATTACCTTGTTCTTTTAATATAGTGTGTAATGAATATGCTACATTTTGTATGTTCAATTTGTAGACTGGCAACTAGTATTTATATGTTTAGGTTACATAGGCTCATGTTAATCCAATAATATAGATGAAGACAACTTTAGATACAAGATACCAATTCAAATCAAGAGTGAAAAGATGATATTAGTCTATACATTTTATGAATAATGCATATTTGAATAAACATAGGTGGGTTATACTGTGAATGACGATATTAATCAAAATTGCAATAATTTTCTAACTAGATGCCTGTTTTATGAAAAGTATCACCGCTGGTGATCATACATATCATTAGTATTCTCAGAAAGTCGGTATCCGAATCGGATACCAAGTTCTGACCAGCAGACGAACAACTAAGTTTGTTTATTTAACGGTTAGATTTGTTGACTTACCGATGCGTATTACAATCTTTTTTGGTCTCTTTTGGTTAATCACAAGTTTGATGATGTCAACGGACTATGAGATAACACATTGTCAGAGGAAAGATATCAATATCAGGTGTATATCGCATAGAAAAATAAATATAGTTAATTGTTTGCACTGATATGATGTGAATAAGTATTTATATTTCGTTATGAAATATATATTTTATTTCTCCAAGATATATAATTTTGAATTTGTTTATGTATTAAAGAGTGTGATTTAACGATAATTGATGAAAAATCAAATGAGGTTTAACACATAAAAATGAGTGGGGGCGGGAGGGGGAGCGACACGCTATTACTCTGAACCTCGTTACTCCCAAAAATCCAATACTTTTATTGGTAAAACATACACTTTAATTGTAGTCTTCAATCTCCTTTATAGCAAAATTGAATGAAACGTTTAGAAACTGAGAAATTAAGTGTAACGGATATACCTCAAAGAATAAATTACGAAATATAGGCCTAAATGACTGACAACATTACGTGCAGTTTTTTATGATATGAAATAGCGGGATTCAGAAACGCATTGAACAGATGACGAATATTTTACAGAGTGACAAATGATACACGAGTGTGCAAGCGCCTTGGTGAAAATAATTTATGATCCGAACCCAGGGATCAAATCGCGATCTGTCAACAAAACCCCCACACACTCACATATCAGGTTAGCGCAAGCCTTAAATGTACAATATGCACGAAACGTTTTCTTGTAACGAAAAATACAATCAACTCAATAATAATGATTCCCACGAATTGATTTCCTTGATCATTAATCTAGACCACATAATACTTGTTTGATTGCGGTTTTTGGTTCTTCACAGACAGGGTATTCAAGGGACTTATCTTGATTTCGGGCCTTGATTGCAGTCTATGGAGTTGCGTTAGGTTTTATGAAGTACTATTTTTAATTCCGCATATTAGATATCTCTGATAAATAGCTACTAATTTGATGAAAACAATATTACCATAGGCCTTTGAAATCAAAATAACCTGCCATATAGAAATCAATCCACATCATGTTGCTAACAAACAGCATAATTCGGCATTAATACGTAGAACTGGACAACAAATAACAATATAATGTTGTTTTGATCCGGATTTTGAATATACAGTACTTTTTTCCCTCAAACCTATCTACCTCTTGGAACTTGAACTTGATACATGTACGTTCAAAATATCAACGGTTACATATATTCATCATTCAAAGGTTTGCCCTCGGCCCGACACTGAATTAAATCGGACCGTTTCAAGAGAGGAATGATAAATAGAAATCTGATTTGGGAAGCCATTGGATCTAACTCACTAAGAAATTGTGTATTTAAATGATATAAGCCAAAAAAATTCTAAAAATTGAAACATTTTTTTTTTGTCTAATGGCTTCAGATAAAAAATAAATGATCGAACAATCAGCAAGTCTAATTGAAAATACACATCCTGTAAAAGTGAATTCAAACACGGAATAAATCGCTGCTATTTAACTTGTATATTGTCTACAAAATAGAAGGGGGAGTGGGAGATAATTCCCTTGCATGTTAACATCAAAACCAAATTCCCAAAACATACCAAAATTAGAACTCCTTTTATATTTATAACTATTAGGGAAAACAAATAATCAATACAAAAAGATGAAGGAGACAACTGATGAGGGGAAAGCAAAAATCGAATTAATCAATTAGGATTAGAAAACTGATTAGAGAGGAGGATAAAAATCGAATTTATCATATGAAACTTCTGAATTTTTAGGATGTTCGTGGACTATATACGCCCCTCCTCGGACGCGCACCCCATTGGCACCCACAGGGAATTTCCCATGGGGGATGCGTCCATGCCCGTAGCCAGCTTTTTGTAAGGGGGGCTCGAACCACCCCCGACAGTACCCCCTCCCCCCCAGCGAACAAGCACGAGAAAGGGGGATTTGGGGCCCGGTCTGGGGGAAGAACGTCTTTGGTGCATTCTGACCAGTTTCGGGCGAGAAATGGGGGTCTAGGAGGTTCTCCCCTGGCAAATTTCGAAAATTTAACATCATTTAATTTGATGCATTCTGACCAATTTCAGAGCGAGAATAGGGGGTTTGAGTTTCCCCCCCCAGAAAATTTCGAGAATTGAACATCATTTGGTGCATTCTGACCAGAACTGGGGGGTTCTCCCCTAGCAAATTTCGAAAATTTAACATAATTTAATTTGATGCATTCTGACCAATTTCAGAGCGAGTATAAGGGGATCTGGGAGGTTCACCCCCCCAGATCGCGGAAATGATGCGTACACCCGAACGACCCCCTCAACGACCAACAAATCTCCCAAAATCATACAGTTTAAACTTTTCACCATTTTGAGCAGTTTCAAGTGGTTTTTATGACCAAAGTTTTCAAAAGTGAACCCCCTTGGGTTCTTGAAAAGTAGCCCCCTTCATAAAAACTGATTACGGTTTTTGTTCTTAAGAAACTGTTATATTCATCTTAGTTTGAGGAAATAAATGCGTATTACTGGATTGAGACATTTGATGACACAGTGTCTGTTTCCCGTCAGCTGCATTGATTACATCATCATGGGAAAACGGGATTGAGTCTATATTGAACTTATTAATTAAAAATCAACGGAGGTTTTGCTCATTCACCTCTTTAAGTGGTTAGGATATCAAATAACTCGGACGTTGCTTTCTTGATCATAAATGTGAACCCCCTTGTCGGGGTTCAGCCCCCCCCCCCACATAACATGACATAAGCTTGGTACGGGTCTGCACCATGGACTAGCCTTTAACCCATGTTTTAAGAGTCAATTATCCATTTAAAATCATAGCCTTGTAAATAACTGCTTTTGACACTTATCTGTGGATTTGGAAATAAGTCCCCGATAATCCCTTATTTCTCCAGAATTTCTGTTTCTGTGTGCCCCCCCCCCCCCCCAGTAACAAATCTACATGTATATTATCTCCATCCCAAAGGTGATTCGAAATTTGAAAAAGCAGAAGCGTACATGTATATGGACATTGGCAAGGTTATAGGGGAAGCGGGCTGTTACCCTTCACATTGTTACACTAGCCGTGCGTCAAGCATACGGCGACCCGGACGGCGACCGCCTGCTTTTCCCAGTTTTAATCTAAACCGTTGCTCATATATTGCTATCATGATTGATTTTCACATCAAAAGTCCCAGTTTGTTAAAAAATACTGATGATACTTGATTTTCCGGAGTTACTATACATGTACAAATAAAGAATGTATTTAAAAGTCATAGGCTGGTGAAATTTACCTACAGATTTGCAACACAAGATCTTGATGCATCCATTTAGAACATAACATGTTACAATAATTCAAAAGTGCGTTCATTAAAACCGGGTCATTAACAGCGGGGCATGAACAGAAGGCATGTGTATGGTGTACAACTAAATGCATCCTCAGATGTGAAATGAAATGAACTCTCAAATACTGAGGCTGAGATGAACATTTATTTGGTTCTACATTTTCCTCATTAATAATAGTGACCTAATTACCCAATAACGCCTCCTATAAAAGGGGAACTGTACATGATACGTATGTTGGATGATTTTGATTTGTCTTGTTTTATTATTCAACTGCTAGCCTTGTTGCATTTGGAATAAACGCAACAGGCGTTTGCAGTTCTATGTCATTTGTAAAATGAATTGATTTGAAAGGCATCACGTGAAGGGGGGGGGGGGTCGAAGGATTATTTATACTGTAGTAGATCGGATGTTGTCGTTTCAAATATGCAATCAGACGGCGTGTGCGGAATGTTACTTAATCAGTTCTCGGCCAATTTTTAAAATTCATGAGAAAATAATATCTCAAAGCCAAGATGTTCTACTATATTGTGATAAGCTTTTTGACCCCGGTTTTTGACTATTAGCTTTTAGATTATGTGCAAGTTAAATAGCAGGGATTAATTTCCTAATGAGACAGATTTATATTTTGCAATCAGATTCAGACGGATTAAATTTTTCTCTCTTTTACAGGATGTGTATTTTCAATCAAACTTACTGATTATTCTTCGGTTTATTTCAAATTTAATTTTAGAGAGATATATTGTTATTCAAATGTAAGAATTATAATATGGAAATAAATATAACATAACATAACATATTGATACGACGTCAGATACTGTACATAGCGGCATTTTACTGCATTTTTACATGCGTACTTACTTTTAAAACCGCAATATCTCGACAGCAAAATCATATTTTTCTACAATTTTTTGTCATCAGTTGAACACGTATGTCCATGAAATATTTTGCCTATCAGAATTCAAAATAACTGATTTGGGACTTTTTAAATGAGAATCACGCAAGCCGTATTATGCGACTTTCTATGCTAAAACCGGGTGTGGACTGTAACATTTTGAAGAAAAACGATTTTAATTTTAAACGAATAATGAAGATAACCTTTTCATTTCTTAACGGATCTATCTCAAATTTTCACAATATTTAAATTCACCATTTTGGAAAAGACAAACAGATTCTGTGTGATGACGTCATAATATAACAATGCTAACTTAACGCTTATATTTATGCAAAAAAAGTGTGGACAGGCAGAATTTCGTACCAACAAGATATATATTTTGGTCAATTAAACATTAAATCGTTTGAAAGGTGAATTATTCTTTTTTGATTCCTGAAAGGCATATCATATTCTATATTTTTATCAAAAAACTATATCATTTCGATTAAAATTCAGTCTGTAAGAAGCATAAATTGAAAGAAATATGAAGTGAAGCCATGTGAAAAATTCACAAAATTACGTTTCATTTTTTGAGTTAAAATATTTCTAATTAAGGGATAAACATTCAAAACTTTCCAATGTTTCAGCATGTTCTTTTAAATATATCCCTTACTACATACAATTAATTTCATTTAATTTGAACCAGTATATATTGAGATAGACATCATTTTATCACCGCAACCCCAAGTGAAGCCTTTACAAAATAAGACGTTACGCCGTTGGCGTATTATATGTTCTCCTTTATTATTCATTGCTTTAAATAAATAATATACAATTATTGACCTCTCCAGAGGTTTACTGTCAAAATTATATCCCGAGACTGTAAACCGAGACCGTAGGTCGAGGTTTACAGTCGAGGGATATAATTTTGACAGTAAACCGAATGGAGAGGTCTATAATTGTTTTGTTAGTCCGAAGAATATCTTAGATTTTTCTGACCCTTGAAGTTGACTTGAAGTTGGATCCAGAACCTCGAGACGTTCATGTTGTATTTCAGTATATCGGCAGTAAGTTCACTCAATGGAGTCAAATTACTCTCCTGGGCGAAGTCCACTAAAAGCTTTGTACAAAGTTTTAGATTTTTCTTCGTATTTTGACTGTCTTTACTCTCTAAGAGACTAATAATATCCTCATCTTCAACATTTTTGAAACGGCTAGTGCTAGCGGCGGCCACCTGATAATGACGTCATTTGAGTGGAATGCTGGGAATATTATTCACCGGCAATGCATTGCGCGGTGTACAGTTAAAATTATTCACCGCTCGTTGACCAATCAAAATCGAGTATTTCAACTGAGGTACTAACAAAACTAAATATTCGAGTTAAAATAAATTACAAATAATGCATTTAACAATCCTTAATATCTTCGCATCTGTGTATATCAGTTGAATATGACAAGGGGCACTGTGAAAGAGTCTAGAAAGACGGTGCGACAACGAGAGCGCAGGGCCGAAAAGCGCGACAAAGAAGAAAACGGGTAGGGTTTGAAATGTCTACTTTCTGGTGATTCTAATTCTGTATATCGTGACACAACCTTTTTGAATATAGAATTGTATTGAAGCGCACATTAATCTGAACAAAACTTGAAGTTTTTAAGAAGATTCCACGAATATTTAAACTTCTGCAATTACTTGGAGGAGCATTGCGCATATTTATCGCGTAAATCTTTGCATTTTGTCGGTAAAATGAACAATTACAATGTTACGCCGTGATGTACAGTATCTGACGTCGTATCATTATAAAAATCAACATCACACTCGATGATCGGAAGTAATGAACGGAGGGGGGAGGGGGTAGCCGATTTTGTCCAAAAATTCAACAAATCTGGAAGATTTATTGTTTCAAGAGAAAGTTTATAATTATAATTCAATTGCTAAATTAATAGGTGCATGACATTGGGAAATATGTTAAGTCTTCTAGGTATTTTTTTCAACCGATAGGCTTCTTAGATATAAGATTTATTCAAAATAGCGCAGCGTCACAAACTTTCAAATGTCAATGTTTTTGCTATAAATATCAAGCAACGGGAGTCTACATTCTACACGACCTGTTTTTAAAAGCTTTGTAAAAAGTGCAGGACCGTAATCACATTTTGTCAATGGGGGGGGGGGGTCACTTTTCAAAACTTAACAAATCTGGCCCCGCAATCACTTGAAAAGTGCTAAGAATGGTGACCCCCCCCCCCGGGTAAAGCCCTGCAGTCAATGCATTTATGATTACAGCCTATCTAAAAACCGACGTCCTAGTTCTTTGATATTTTAACCACTTAGAGGTAAATGAGCATGTAGACAAAAACATCTGTCGATTTCTAATTAATTAGTTCAATATAGACTCAATCCCGTTTTCCCATGATGATGCAATCAATGCAGGTGACGGGAAATAGTCACTGTCACCAAACGTCTCAATCCCGTAATACGCATTTATTTCCGTTTAATAATGTAAATAGTTCATGCCAGGAAGGGAGGGGGAGGGGCGCATTTTTGTAATTTTACGTCATACTTTAAAATATATTTCACGTTCAAATCGAAGAATAAATAAATAATTTCTTTATTTCAAATAAAAATGACTTGGCTGTGATATGTAACAGATTCTTGTAGTCATTTGATGACAAACGGTTAATTAGTGAACGGGCCGAGGATAAGCAGTATGTATCTTACTAAAAGCATGATCATTCTGAAAAATTCAGCCGGAGAATTAGATGTTCGGGTATAAAATCGCTTTTGGTCCGAGAATAAATGAGAGGCTCCTAATATTAAAAGTATAATTATTCTGTAGTATAATATTATAATGTTTTCCAAAATGAATCTTAGGTTACATATTATAATATACATATATTGCACACGGTTATGAAGTATGCTTTTCCAAGGGGTTGCTGTCTTCTAGTTGAACTCTCTTACTCTAATGCTTCTTCTGGTATTTCCACATATTTTATCGATTGAACATTAAAGTTTAATGACAAAAGACGATAAAAGAAACTTCAAAGTAAACTTGCGTATTTTGGTCTATTTCTTTATTGAGAGCATTTACAAACGCACGAATTTTATTATTTTAAGGCTAATTTCGTAACATATAATCTATTTAAAGCTGATGATTTTAAAGTATGTTCGGTTCAATTGTACAAAAAATGAATAGTAATATAGTATATAGAAAAATATACAACGATTAAAATGCGCATACTGTGCACACAATGTACAAGTATTGCCGAACTTGCATGCGCGTTCTTGATAATAAGAAAAAAGGTCGAACAGTTACTTAAAAATCAAACATTTTCATTTTCAAACATAGTAAATATTTGGATATTTAAATCAAGAAAAGTATGATAACATTTATGATCGATAATTATCAATAACTCTCCATAGCCAACAGCGACTGTGACGACATGTTTATTTACTTAGCTAATTAGACATTTACAATATTGTTTATGGTCGCAACGGATACTATAAGTAAGCAGTTCGGATACCACGTTTGTATACGACAATAACAAATCCCGGGCAGAATATTATTTAACAGTATCTGATCTTATTACTTATTAATCAATTTGGATAACAAATATATTATCTCGTCGTATTGGAGTTTATTATATAGTGTTTCTCGTTGTGAATGTTGCTTTCAGTCATATAATACGTGTATAATATACACAACCGAATGATTGTTTTGTCTGTTACAATGACATACACGAAGGTGGGTGTGCAGACCACTTCCCTGTAGACAGACATTTAACTTGCATAGGCGTTCTGCTTGCCCCCCATCCATGGCAACTGTAAGTGACTATGGCCCCCACAGAGTAGTCCGTGCCATGTTTAATGACGTTAGGGGACACCAAGGGTTCTTTGCAATGTATTTCTAAAAAGGACAGAAGATAACAATTCAAACAGGATAGTAATTTAGTTATTTCCCATGTCTAACATACACATAACAGAGAATTCAAAATCATGTTATTGTCTTTTTGTCAATTTATTAAATATACTTAATATATAGGGTGTCTCAAAAAATGTACCCAAAAGTGTATCAACACCACAGACAAACCAATCAATATTTTCAGACATTTTTTGCATGGTCGTGTAGATAAAAGATGAAAGTTTCTTCCCCCATGCACAGTTTTTAATTCAGTTTTGCCTTTTTGATTCTTTAACCCGTTACCTTTTACACCACATATTCAATGTAACCTCATATTTCGATGACAGTCTGCATCCTTACTACTACATTGTTAATCACATTTGATATTTCTGGTGGAATGCTTTGATTTCTGTTTGGATGCTGGTCTTAAGTTGTTATGGGTCTCTTAGCCTGGGTTTAGCATAAAAATGGTCCTTCAAATAGCCTCAGAGAAAAAAGTATGGTCCGTCAAATATGGTCAATAGGGAGGCCCTTACAATGTCTTATAGCCCCCTTATACAGAGAGGTAGGAGGTTCAAGAAACTGCATTGGCCGGGATTCTAGTGTAGCTTTTGTTGTGTGGATCAATTTGAGACCACTGTGTTTTCATTTGGATATCATTTGGTCTCCAGGCTAGCCTGCCTAAGTCTGGAAGGTAACTCCTGAATCATTTGCCGATAATTGACCTGATTATCCGTGTTTGTTCTGCCATCGTCATCCTCAAACATCTTTCTCTGTGGCTATCTGAAGGAGTCTTTTAATGCTCATTCCAAGCAAAAAGACCTAGAACAACTTAAGGGCAACATCCAAAGAGAAATCCAAAACATTCCACCGGAATTATTATCAAATCTGATGAACAATGTAGAAGTAAGGATACAGGATGTCATCGGAATATGAGGTTACATCGATAATGCGGTATAAAAGGTAAATGGTTAAAGAATCAAAAAGACAAGACTGAAATAAAAATGGTGTATTGAGGAGAAAACTTTCATGTTTTGGCTACATGACCATGCAAAAAATGTCTGAAAATATTGATTGGTTTATCTGTGCTCTTGATATACTTTTGGGTACATTTTTTGAGACACCCGAGTAAACGTTACCATGATTAATTTAGTAACATGACAGCTATAGCAACAATCCGTCAGACTGAAAATGCTTTATTTATCCTTCCAACTGTTGCCATAAAACTTACCTTTCACGACAACATCCAAAAAGTTTGCAGTACTGTGGATGTAAGGGTTGTAGCACTTATACCTCCCCTCGTCTTCCTTTTGGACAGAGGTCAAGTAAAGTCTATACTGTGTCCCAGATTCTTGCCATTCTCCGGGTAATGATATCTCTAAAGGCGTTGCTTTCCCATTGGGACCTGCAATGATCCTCTGTGTGTCACTTACTTCATAAAATAAAGTGTCGTGAGACTGAATGTGATGCTTCGAAGGTGGCATAATGTATCCGATGTCAGCCATCACTGCGCCCTTTTTCCATTTGGGAGTTCCAAATTTCCTCAGATACAAGCAATCTAATGTTATATTGGAACCAGGGAACACGTGCAATGTGAGATTGTCCTCAATAAAATACTTTCCTTGGACTTTTCCAACTTTTACTTCGGGTCTGAAGAATTCTAAAATGAAAAATTGAATCGTTTAATCAATTTTGAGGTAATCAAATATAACATTGCTCTGACATTTCAAATGTTTTTGTTTCTAATTCGTATTAGTTGACTCACCCAATGTTATGTTTCAAAACAGACTAATTATCTATAGTCTCTTTAATCCAGTTTATTCTCTCTATATTTCCGAATAAATGGCAAAATCCTGGTTTGTGCTTTTTAATTAAATTAATAAAACTGACATTATCAATCTGTGTATACAATGGTTAAAAGCTTAAATTTCCTAGAGCCTGGCTTCATTCAAAGGGTCTTGTAAACCTACTTATGCCCCTTTTTAGAAGCTTTAGAAATTGAATAAAGTTTGGCTCTCTAAGATTTATCCATAGCCGTTGACATCGCCACCTATTCAACGTTCGTGTATTCACAAAAACACAAGCGTGCCTGAAACTAGTGCACAAAATCTCTATTATAAGCGTCTTACTGGGCAAGATTGCGGCCGTTGGTCCAGCGATGCTTCTCTTGCCCCTGTACATGGGTAGAGGGTCATCTCTATGAGTTTCCTTGAAGCAGACTGGAAGCTCTAACAAAGAGTATCTAGGATTATTTCTCATTTCAACATTATTGCTCTACAAAGAACTGCACAGTGCACATACATGTACAGTTTGGACCAGAAATAAATGAGTCATGGATTTGCTGAAGTGAGGATTTCCCATGTTAAAATCAGAGAATCTTCAAGAGACCATACATAGTGGATGAGAATACACACAATGTAAAAAATACATTTTCTAGAGGATTACAGTATATGTGTCTAGTTATTATTGGAAAGTATTGACTTTCAAACCACCATGGTTTGGAAATGGGTGATAGAAAATCAACTATTCATTTATTTATGGTTCACGCTGTAGTAGCAGGGTTTTCTATATGCAGGAGTGACGGAGGTGGCTCCTAACAATTTTAGGAGAGACTTAGAGTTGCTAATTTTGCAGGAAAGATATTTGTAGCATACATTTTTGTCGAAAATTTAAGACTGACAAAATCAAAATTTCCCGAAACCGATTTTGACAAAAAAGAAGAATTATAAGAAAATGAGAACTATTTACTAGAAACTGAAATTATAAACTATCAACAGAATGATTAATTTAAAGGAGAAATGAGCAAAGCATGAATATACAAACACAACATAAACACGACAAAATCAATAAAGTATATTTCATAATAAAAAAGAAGCATATATTTAACATATGCCTACGTTTAACTGGTCTAGAAACTAAAGCTAGAAAACGATCACAACACTAAAGTCCCATCCAGCAAACATCAGATCACTACACAAGCTCTGCCATTCACCGAGACCGGATACTAGTCCACGGTATGAAATTTCTAGGACGTCTAATTAAGGAGTTGGTGGCACCATATCTGCATAATGATATTTGAGCTTATATTTAGATACCTACATGTGTCCCGCGTTTTATTTTTGTATAGCTGTGATAAATACGGCGGGCTTTTAGGCAGAATAATGCATGTCATTATCAGGGGTCAAAAAACGTGTAAAACGTTTTTTTGTATTTTTTTATAATTTAAAGTACAAACATTAAAAGAAAATCACATGAAAATATTTTCAATATATACATCAAGTTTCTTGGCTATAATTTTGCGGTATGTGTTCCTTGAAATACCTTATATATAAAAAATCAAGGTTTCAACATTTTATGTCGTTTTGGAGATATTGTTGCAGCAATCAATATATTGGCACCTTTATTACCTGTGAATAACATATGGTTATAATATGTCAGTTTTTTACTAAATTAGTTGTAATACATTTTGAGATATGGACAGCCGTATTCAGGGGTCAATTGCCAATAAAGGGAGACTTTTTGTTCTTCCTTGTCTAATACCGTCTGCGATTGAAAATTGTTGCATATGGTTGAACATAAATTGGTTGCTTATATAAGGACCATATCTTCAACATTTGACTACATGGATCTTTGAGAAATGTCGGCAATAATGTAAAAATGAATCGATGTGATGCATCGCAGTGACAAATATAATTGTTGTTATATTATACTGTTTGTTACACATTAATAAAAAATCAGAATTCTGAAGTAACAAAACATGAACGCACAAGTGGAAATGGAAAAGGCACAGCAACAAATGGAATGTGTTCAAGAGTATACTAATATAAGGGAATATCAAAGCGTTAACATGCAAAATGCCAACGCATATTCGTTACATACACCGAACGCCGAATATGTACTGTCAATGGACTTTATGTTGGAAACTATAACAATATGTCATACCACTCTTGGTGGTGACATAAGAAACACTAGCAATCCCAAAGTCAAACGTCTATCAACCCCTCCCGACCCACGAGCTAAGTATAAACATCATTCCCAGACCATTACACCAAGTAGCACCTCATTATACTCGAGTCATTACAACACAAATTGAATAAAAATACAAATTGTGAGCCAATACTCATAACAATACTAATAGTATATTAGATATACAATATTTAGAATTTGGTCTTAATGCTTTGAGATAGATATTATAATTCGTTTAACGTTTAAAAGGGTCAGCATCCCTCTGCAAACCTAAAGCCTTCAGTTTTAGCAATTTAATTGACAATGCCTAAAATAATCCCCACATCCTTCAGCATCTCGAGTACATAAACTTAAACGGTCGCAAAATCCAGAAATTATTTTACAAAAAGGAACACTGTTCATTAAACAAAACAGAATACCTCAAATAAAAATCAGTGACTTTCGCATTTGGATTCACTCGCATAAACCAATCCTCTCATGAAAGCTCTTATATAGAACTAATAATTCGTTTATAAATCACAGGTAATATTGCCTAACATAATGCATTCGCAAAAAAGTAACATCTCACATGAAAAATCAAAAACATAATAGCCTCATGAATATACTCACAAACACGAATACCTCACATATAAATCGTAACTGATATAACAACTTCTTCAGTATAGTATATTCCTCGCTCATTATGTGGTACTGTATAAAATGCACTCAAAAAACCTGATACTTCACATCACGCGGTACTAACTTCGACCGTTAATTTGAATTTTTGACCTACCAGGTGCTTGAAAATCAAGGATTGCGAGTCTCATACTGCACCGTTTTTCTTCAAACTTATACCATTAAAAGAAAAACAAAATTGCCTTTCTGTCGGTGCATTACTTGATTGTAAAGAGTCCCTCGTTCACGCAGCGTTTTGGTCCCCAGCTGTCGGAAGGCCTTCTTACAGCTGGGGACCAAAATGCCGCTAGAAATAGGGTCTCTTATTAGGAGAATAATGTACCATCAGAAAGGGATTTTTGTTATGCTTTGAATGGAACAAGTTTGAAGAAAAACGGTGCAGAATGAGACTCATAATCCTTGATTTTCAAACATCCGGTAGGTCAAAAATTCAAATTAACGGTCGAAGTTAGGACCGCGTGCACATAAAAACTTGGATTAATCAAACGTTATAGGATGCGCCTCACATAAAATAAACAATATAGCATCACAGAGTGCACTATTTGAAAGGAATACCTTTTATAAAATTTCAAATATTATCACTACTACCCACCTAGCTACACAGACGTATCGTCGGTGTATCATGGCTGAACTACTTCCGGGATTCGAATTTGGTAAGATATTTTTATTTCTCGATTTACATCTACTTATAAGTCACGATGTGGATTATAATTTGGCTCGAAGTTATGGGAGATAATCTAGTTTGAGAATGTTTCGATGGTTTTAGGTTTGGTATGTTAACGAAGACACATTTCACATATTTAGTCCCTCACTTTTGTTACACTGACGACCGGCATTAATATTGCCAATATTACACTGATATTGGTCGTTCGTCAGTGTAACAAAAGCGAGGGACTAAATACCTGAATTGTGCCTTTGTTAACATATAAAACCTAAAACCATCGACACATTCTCAAACAAGACTATCTTCCTTAACTTCGAGGCAAATTATTATCTACAACGTGACTTATAAGTAGGTGTAAATCGGGAAATAAAAAAATCTTACCGAAACCTAGTCCCGGAAGTAGTTCCGCCATGATACACTGACGATACGTCTGTGTAACTAGGTGGGTAGCAGTGATTATACAGAATATAGAATGAAGTTAAAAGAAACTTGTACTCCCCTAAAATAAAGTGTATGGATAGTACTCACAATTAGCAACGATCCAGGGACAATGACTACCACTCCACATAAAACATTAACAATGATATTGAACTTCTTCACTACTTCTTCAGCATAGAATTTACTCAGAAATGAGTAATACATGTTATTCAGGTATAAATTAAATTACCTCCTTCATATGTGACATATAATTTCACCCAGAAACTAGTTTTTCTAGCAATACCCGATATAAAGACAAAAGAGATATAGCCTGGGAGTAGCCATTTTATCCCAAATTCTATCCAAAATGTCATGAATATGTACGCACGAGTGCCAAATGCGAAAGACCAAAAATGACAAAGCATAGCAGGAAAATGAAATGTCTAAGATCTCATTGCCAAATGGAAAGAAAATCCAACTATCTCAATTCAATATACAACGTGAAAGGAAAATGTATCTTTCAACACTCACAACAATTCGTAAAAGTGCAATTCGCATGGCTTTGGCGACATAGAGTTTGTGCACAAATGAATAATGCCTGATTTGATAAAAAGTTACAAATTATAAAATGAAGTATGGCTTCCTAAAACTCGAATGGAAAGATCGGAAACGAGAGATGTTTAGTTGGATTGCTGAAAAAATTGAGAGAACCGGTGTGAAAGAAATTATGGTCCCCTGGGGATTATGGTCCCCTTTCCAAACGGCCCTTACTGGCCCTGATTGTGTATAAAATAATAAGGGAAAGAGTTGTGATTAGGTCACTATATAAATCAATGGAGAGTAGGACCATAATTTGATAGGACCTCCTACCCTTTTACACCGGTCTTACAAAAAATGATTCGATGTCGTCTTTAAATATCGGAGGCTCGTCTGAAAGATTGGATGTGTGCAACACTATAAATTTCTCCCAATTCCAATCGGGACTTTGCACGCGATGGGTGAGTTGATATGATTGATAGGGTCACACCTTGGAACAACGATACATATCGTGAACACAGATGATAAAATATAGATAGTCAATGAAATAAAATATAAATGAGTACCTTTAATTTCGTATAATTCACAATCTCGCCCTGCTGAATGAAATCGTCTCTAACGGTGTCACTCATCCATCACGAAGGTTGGTTTCTGGTTCTTATTAATGACAGTATGGCTCTCACTTATAAATTTACATTTAGAATAGAACGAACATTTGTCAAGTTATGATCGAAACAAAAACTAAATCTTGTCTTCGCAAGGGACAGTTCAAAAAACTAAATTACTATCTTGAATTTCACAAATCTTGCTCTACTGCATCAAATCGTCCTGTATATAGTCACTCGTCAACCACGAAAGTTGATTTCCGGTTTCTTAATAAATCATTCTAGCGTTCTCATTTATAAAACAATCGATAATTAAAACTGAAATATATTATAATGCATTCAATGTTTACTTTCTTACAACATTCCATGGTTATTTTATTGTGGGAGCACAGCATTGTGACACTATGATATTTGCGACGCATTTGACTGCGCCTTCTTTATTCCTCGATGCAAATCATCTAGTTTAAAAATGTAAACATTCCAATACTAAAATTAGATTAATTATTTAATTGATTCATCCTTTATATTTTTATTTGATTACGTTTTGAATATCATTAACAATAATCCGTTGTTTGACCCCTGAAAACGCAAGAAATATTTCCGTGAATATATTGTTTCTATAAGTACAAAACTAATATGTTACTAATTATAGATTTTCTGAATATTTCGCATAATTTGGTCACATCTGCTCTGTCTTATTTTTTTCTAAATAATAAAACGTTGAAAAGTACCCTAGTGCAATGCACTAATTGAAAAATGACATTTACGTTAAAATAGTATTATATTTCTATGTAATCCTAATCCTTTAAATTATATATAAGTTTCGATTTACAATTTGAGTCTCATAAAATGCACAAAAATGCTCATGAAAAGTTTCACGTTTTTTGACCTCTTGTGATGACAGACATAATGCGACCCGAAAGCCTTAATATTTTTTACCAAATGGCATTTTAAAAGCATAAGGACATATGCCCCTCCCTAAATATCGGTTCAAATGTCGTTATGCATATATGGTGCCACGGATTTGTAATATCTATGAGCCATACCATGGACTATACCTCTTTTAGATCCAGATTTGACAGATCTCTTCCCTCTGTATGTCGAGATTGGCATTAAGCTATGGGAGCTCTCTACACACATAGGTGAATCTACAACTGAATAATGTTTACAACAAAATATGTGTATATTGAATACATTGTGGTAAATGTAAATTATCAAAACAACATTGGAATCAAGGTTATGATGACATATGTTTAAATGTAGTATAAATATCGTCAATATTTGGCGATAAATGATTGAGACTCGAGCTGCTCGAAGAATAATTATATGCGGTAAAAACTGTTCATAAATTAAATATCACTAGTTTCTGTGTATATTATATAATTAAATATGAAAACTTTGGGATGATATTGACAGTAAAATGATTAACTTCAAATCTTTAAGAACATTATTTATGTTTATTTCTTAGATAATACAGAACACTACACTGCCATCTTTCTTTGCCCCAATATCTAAGATGATAACATAAATTAGTTACCTTCAGGACTCCACTGTCCATCTACACATGTTGCAGCCCCGGGCCCTATTAACTTATAGCCGCGGTCACATTGGAACTCTATCTGCTCATTGTGACCTACTTTCCTTGCGTAGGACCTATACTCGTATTTTCCTATTACTCCCACCAGAAGCACTTTGCAGTGAGGAATACCGCCAACCCATGGACAATACACTACCAATGAAATCGAACCATGATGATAAAATTGATTATATCTAAGCAAGCGATGGTTCATTGGTAATATTTGCTACAGCTTTATGTGTGAGCCCGTGCGGTTGGGGTGTACCCAAAAATAGGGTCGAATACATAACTTTTCAGACATCCGATAACTCAAGTATTTCAGTGATTTTGTAAAGAGCAATATGCAATATATTTGTATTGACGTTAAGCGGACCAATCAGAATGCAAGAATTTACACTACGATGGAATAAGCTAAAATATCATCACCCTTACATGGCTCGCAATATGGCATTCTCCCCATGGGTTTCCATTTTCCATATGAACACTGCATGTATTTGTTTTCTTTCAGTTCGTATCCCGTGTCGCATTTGTACTTCGCCCTTGCGCCGTGACGAGTACTGTAGTACCGTGGGATACCATTGGTTATGGAAGGCGGTCTGTCCCGACAGGGCGCTATAAATAGACTATAATTATGGACTCGGGCACGTGCACGAAAAGTCAGGAAAATATATTTAAAAGAAAATTTCTAAAGGTAAAATGGGGAAAAAAATTACTGTTGAGGTCGACCTGCAGTCTCAGTTTACATTTCGAGATATAGCGTTAATAGTCAACCTCTGAATAGGTCAATAGCACTAATTGTATACTCTACCTGGCAAACATTTTAGGAGACCAATCCAGGTCCCATTGTAACACGTGGCTGGACCGTGGCGGCTGGGGATATGTGTTGTGTTCTTACATTTGAAGCTCACTGTTGTATTGTGATTTACCCAGAGGGCATGCCTCCCCAGTACTGTTCCATTTGCCATATCTGGAACCTCACATTGACCTAAAATGTCCATATTTGGATATAAACTAAAGTATGTTAATTTTGTCTACATGTATTCTTGCTGATCGAACACGTTTTACAATAGTCTGGCAAACATTAGACTTCTTTTCCCCTCGAGTTTGATATTTTATTGTATTGCGTGCGCCATCTACACACAAAAAAAGAACTATTCCTGAACCCCTCTTTCACTGGTGATCCACTCGATTACGCTGGTTACCAAAACGAACCGTTTTGGTAACAAAATGTCGGAACGTCGAAGGCACGATTTTTCTTTTTTCCTTATTTCACGCGTTGTAGGCAGAATCCCCACGACGTTTTTTCTCAGATCGTGCGTCAGTATCATTATGTTTTAGAAAATGTACATGTTTGCTAAAAAATAGCTCAGAAGACAACATAATCGTCGATTTACTTCCTCACTTAAGTTACATAAACGGTTTTTCGAAAAACAGTTAAGATCTGCACTTTTAAGCGAAACCGTTTATGTAACTTAAGTGAGGAAGTAAATCGACGATTCTGTTGTCTTCTGAACTATTTGTTCGCAAATATGTACATTTTCTTAAACATATGATACTGATACACGTTTGTGTTAAAAAATGTCGTGGGAATTCTGCCTACAACGTGTAAAATAAGGAAACGAGAAATATCGTACCTTCGATGTTCCGACATTTTGTTACCAAAACGAACCTTTTTGGTAACCAGCGTAATCGAGTGGATCACCAGTGTCTTTGAGACGCAAAGGGTGGCAGGCATCAAATAAACGTAAAACGGTTATTAGGTTATTTTCTCCTCTTGAAACTACCACTTCTTCTCGAGTTTGATTTTATTGTATTGCATGCGCCACCTGTACACAAAAACAACAACTTCGTAGTATTAGTAAACAATAGAGGGTTTAAGCTTGTAATGTTTTTTTTACAACCAACGTAACCGTGAACGAGAAGTACATGAATCAGTATAGTAATTATGTGTAGAGCGCGCATGGTATTAATGCTCGCAAAGCGCTTTAGTCTACTACTAATTCACGTTAGTGTCAACGCGAACCATTACTGGGTAATTGATACGTATAGGTTTTCGTTTCTCTAATTAAACGATAACGTTATTTTTATATTATTGATCGATATTTTAAAAATAAATTTTTGGAATAGTCTAACTTTACCCCAACATTTTGGAGTTGGATTAGTCCAGTATCCTCCCGAACTGATCTCTCCCTCTGGCACTTCACACTTAGTGGAGATTGATCTACCCTCAAACGTGGTTCTTCCGAGGCATCTGAAATCAGTCAGTAATATGTTGATGAACCATGCTCTTAACCCCTTGAACAATACCCATATATTGCGATTTCGAGGGAACAGCTCACAATATTTTAAAAATTCATTTTCTTGGTAAAGTAATGATCCAGTAGTGAGGTAAATCAGGCCTGTAGCCATTAGCCAATATAAGTGTCCAAAAATAGGGAATATGTAACTGCCATGCGGGATTCACAATATTCACAATATAAGGTTTCCAATAAATGTGTGTTGTCGCACCTGTTAAGAGCAGTTGGGTACCTGCCTATGCACTCAACTACAAATGAATGCAAGTTGTCGCATCTAGCTAGAGACCGAATGAATAAATAATACATATATTTATGGAAGGTTTTTGAATAGGGCAAACAGCAGGCCTCAAATGAGAGGAAAGAAATCAAAAGAATCATATCTGTATTCGATTTATTTCAAAACGAAAGTGGATTAGAAATAACAGAATAGAACCGAAATCAAGAGTTATTCCTCAACATGGAAATTACATAGGGATTTCAACAGTAAATCGAAAGTGAATGTGAATCGAAACCATGAGCAATTCCAAACCTGGAAATTACCAATAAACGGGCACGTTTGGGAAGTACTATCAAAATTTATAGAGGTGCCGGTATAAACGTATGATTGAAGAGCTTATTTAACACATGCATTCTTATAACAAACATCACTCGTACTGATAGAAATCCAGATCAAAAATGTCTCACCCCGAAGAATTTCACGCAAGGCTGACAATATTTGTGACAATTGTAGCAGGAGAAAAGAACATCATCAATCGATATCGACACCAACGTGCCGAATTAGAATACCATACAGCATACATTGAGGAATTTGTTGATGATATATGTTCGAGCTTTGGAGGATATAGCGATTTTGCCCAGGTAAAGACCCGTTTTTCCAGAGGAAGTTACTATGAGAGGACTAAGATAATTGAGCCCAATGAATACGATTATCTCCCAGTCTTGTCCCTCACCGACGATGTCGCCGTCGAGGTGTGCGATGTCGAAGAGGACTGTAAACTAGCCGGTCAAGGATATAAGCGCGTTAAAATTCTCCCAGGTCAACTTCAAAAACATTTCAAAAATTTACGTCGAAATGTGCTTTGTAAGCAAAACGATGGAGTATATTTAAAGACAGAGATCAGGTACAGTTTGGTTGAAGAATTAGATTCGTACCTCAAACGAAATCATTCTCAAAACTATCTAGGCAGGAAAAATCACAATGAAGACCCCGCCTACGAGATCGGACAATTCAGTCTACATGATTTGGTACATGGCCCAAGCGTATGCATACGAGTAGGAGGACCATTATGCACTACAGATATAGATCTTTGTTTCTGCATTCAAAAGAGCCCCGGATGTGTGTTGGTCCCGGCCTTTGTGTCGTCAGCAAAGTGTAACGTAGTTCTAAATGAGAATCATTGGACTGAATCCGTACTTCAGTTACAAAAAGAAACGGGTATAGAGCTTCCACTTTCTGACGGGCAGCACAAACATGTTTTCTTAACATTGAAATTCATCTCCCACCTTTACGACAAAATCTATTGGTTTCTCTTCGGCAGTTGTACCCCAGATGGTCTCATTTCCTCCTACGCATATAAGCTCCTGATGCAGCACCACTCCCATCGCCAAAAGGGGCCCGACTATAACATCGGCAAGTGGTTAGAAGATATCGTCTACTTCATTTTCGGATTCACCCGTAAAGAAGGCGATGGTCGTGACGTATTCAGGGCATACGGGCGTGGTGATGACGTTTACCTTCCAGATGTGCATTTCCACGAGAGGAAGGTCAAGGTCATTAATGGCGATGCCAACAAGGGGGAGCTTATTACGCTCTTGTGGATATACAAACACGTGGAGCACAACGACAATACAGTTTGGTGGAAAAGACTTCTTGATGACGACTTTCCGAACAATGTTGATAAACCTGTTCATAATGGACTTATAGAAACTGAATGTGTTGATAAAGACGGGCTAGACTCGTTGCTAAGATCAGTTGAATACGTGATGACGATTCGTTCAGGCAAACCCGAAAGACCTCCTGAATGCATATGGCGTCACATGAATGGCGCGATAACCCGCGTCATAATAGATGACCAGAAACCTCTAGATATTTTTTAGTTAAGATATGCTGTCAAGTTGTGAAGTCGGCTAACATGTTAGAATAATCATCAATTTAGAGAGATTATTGCTAAAATAACGTAATCCTAATATCTTGGACCTCATATAAGATAACCTCTATATTCTACCTTCCGCAACTGCTGATGAGCACGAGACGGTACAAAGGGGAGTGATACAACGTCAGTTCTGCACTGTTTTCATTTATATATCGGTGTTTGTAGAGGTCAACTCACATTTTCACTTCTAGACCCTCTTGAAAATGAAGACCTTTCAGATTATTGTCAATAATGTATCAAATCAATGTTTCTTGGAATAATGACACTCTTCAGCACATTACAATTCGACATTGATATTCCAAGTTTATACAAATGTAAATGTGGAAATGTAAAATCCTAAAATAAAAAATAAAAAATAAATAAATGGAGAAGCACTCACTTAAAAATGATGACAGATTGGTAGGTAGTTTGGTGCCCTTCAAGGTAGCCGTTCCAAAGGGGGTCCGGGAGGCCGCAGTCAACCCCTGGAGAATTAAATATGGCATTGTACAAAAATAATATAGTGTGCGCCAAAACTCCCGAAAATCCCATAAACTGATGTTGAGGTAGGTTACTATGATCTGACCTATAGTCATTATAGATTGGTTCATTGACTATTCATTTTTACTTGTCTGCACTCAAAAAAGTGACACGAAGGGGCTAAACGGCTTGCCCCAAGGTGCAACCGTCAAAAAGATGAGTTTGACAAAAATCTTTTTTTTCAAATAATAGCAGCGAGTATATGAAATAGGAGGCAAATTTGATATGGATATGTATGATAGTCCATTTGGGTGTGGTCATTTTTATTAAAAACAATAATATTGAAGAATTATACATTTCTGACCTTAAAATGCCATTTTAATGCAAAAGTCGCGGTTGTTATTAATTATATTCCTATTTTGCCTATTCAATGTTTTCTATATATTACACTTACCATTATATTCATTTTTGGCAAAGTAAACAATAATGGGGCTCACACAAGGATCCACTTTATTTACAACTTTTTCATATTTAGTGATGTTTTGAAAAATTACTACGTTTAACAGAAAATTATTTGTTAAATGTTAAACAAAATAATGATGATGTGTTTGTTTCGTTGTTTCAACTGAAAAATCATAATTCATTGCTCTTGATTTTAGAGCGGCGGGGCATATACCAGTCTGACCAATCTTCAATACAGTTGATCCTTGTGTGATCCCTACTATTATTTACTTTGCCAAAACCTAATATAATGGTTATTCGGATATATGAAAATCATTTGATAGTCAAAATAAGAATAATATACAGGGTGGGCCAAAAAAAAGTTCACCCTTTTTCATTTTAATCTCATTTTTTTATTTTTGATGCAATCCCTTAAAAAACTGACATGTAGATAACTGAGACATTTCTAAACAAGGTCGATATATAACATTAGGTGTGTCTTTGGCTGTTTTGTTTTTAAAGTAAATGTTCAATATGTCCTCCTTGTTCCTGCACAACCAGTTTTAGTCTATGACGCCATTTATTTATTGCCGCGTTAATTGATTGTTGTGATTATTTTTCCCAACATAAAGTTATTCTTTGTTGGAGTTCTTGAACTGAATGGATGGGAACACTATGAACATGTTTTATCTAGTTCACCCCACACAAAATAATCCATAACATTGAGATCAGGGCTATTTGGGGGCCATAAGTCAAGGGGGGATAAAATCAGGTGCATTGGCATGCAAGAACTCCATTGTTGCTTTAGATGTGTGCGAGGGAGCCCCATCTTGTTGGAATATGTAGTTTGGATTGATGCGATTCATATCCTTTAATAAGGACTTTTTTAGCACTCTGTCTATATAGTATGTAGAATTCATTTTGGCTCCAGGTTGAACAAATGTTACTCTAGTTTTTCCCAACCATCAAATTATTATCAATATTGTGAACGTAAAAATGAGGAAAATTGGATAAAACCATGGATTTTCAGTAACTTGTTGACCAACTCATCTATGGTAGTATCGGGTGTTTATAAGAGTACTTAATTGTTTAAAGAGGTGTTTATCATCAACTCTGACTATTAATTAACACTCTACTTTGTAATATTTTGCATTAACTGACATAAAAATTATATTTACCATGATAACTTCTTTTTAAATTTCCCTCCTTTTTTTGAAATCCGCCATTTTGTAAATGAAGTGAATTTCTGGTTTTTTTTTCATGACACACCATAAATATATTTTAGGTGTCATGACAACACTATTGCATAAATTTCACTCAAATCCTAACAACATGTACAGAAATGTCTGAGCTATATACATATCAATTTATAGAGGCATTGCATCAAAAATAAGAAAATTAGATTAAAATGAAAAAGGGTGAACTTTTTTTTTGGCCCACCCTGTAATTGACTTTTGAATAAAAAAGCATTATATAGTCAGAAGTACCAAATTTGTACCATAATTGATTTAAAGATAATAACCATACCCTAATGGACTATCTCTACATATCAATAACTAAATTTTGCAAAATTTGCTTTAAATTTGCATTTTTGAAAACGCACCTGCTTATACCTATTCAATTTAGAACCACAACATCAAGTTACTCTTTCATGAAAAACTTCGTCAGCTTGACTGAAGATTACTGAGTGCAGTCATTAATATGACCTCAAACGACTTTGACCTTATTATACTTTTGAGCCATAGATATTGACATTGAACTCATGTCACCTTAGCATGAGTTGCCAAGGGTCATAGCAGCTCCCAGGGCCTCAAAACGCCAAATACAGAGATTTTGACCTTGTAGGAATAACAATGACCTCAGAACACATATCAATGGGTCCTCACATGAAGCAGCATCCCCAAAATGCCAAATATTCAGATATTGACCTCTGACCTTGAGATGACCTTGACCCATAAACAGTGACATTGACCGTAGGTCACTTTATCTTTGGTGATCAAATGTTACTTAAGACCCACAGTAGCCAACTACCTATGACCTAGATATTGACCTTTGACCTTGAAATTACCTTATCATTGCAGGTCACTTTATCTTTGGTGATCAAATGTTACTTAAGACCCACAGTAGCCAACTACCTATGACCTAGATATTGACCTTTGACCTTGAAATTACCTTGAAATCACCTTATCATTGCAGGTCACTTTATCTTTGGTGATCAAATGTTACTTAAGACCCACAGTAGCCAACTACCTATGACCTAGATATTGACCTTTGACCTTGAAATTACCTTGAAATCACCTTATCATTGCTCGCCAAAGGTCACAATTGTTCTCACGTCAACTTGCTAGATATTGACATTTGACCTTAAAATTACCTTGATCCATTCAAACCTTGACTTCAGGTCACCTAATCATTGGTTGTGGAGGGTCAAATCAACGGCCATGTGTCTTAAAAAGCCAATTACCTAAACATTGACATTTTACCTTGAAATGACCTTTTTATGAACAAAAATGAAACATTCAAAGTTGAAAACTGACCGTTTGAAAATAAAATTGCTGCTAATGTTTCAAAACGAAGGTATCTGTATTGTAAAAGTAATGTTCAAATTGAATAAACTCAAAGAAATATACTTCAATTATTTAATTTTCTATCAGACTAAGTAATATTGTAACTGTTCTAAATGTAAATGTTGCAATGAAAGCTCACATATATCTTGGTGCATATCAGTCAAGTGCAGCTGCTACAGGTATCACTCTGACAAACATCGGTATCTTTTAATTTGGCGTCCAAGCAGAATGTTGGACAAAATGGCTAACTGTAAATCATCAATAATGGAATTGTCAAAAGTTGCATTTATAAAATCAATTCCTGCCTCATCATTGTTACACCCATTACTAAAAGATGTTGTCTCGACTTGATCACTGTCTGCAAGCTAAAAAAGTATCAAAATCACAGCCTGCTTTATCACAATAAACTTTTGTTACAAATAATTTCAGTAAAATGCAAAGAGAATGCCCATTTGATATAAATATGGAAAGATAGTCCACTTTGGTGTGGTAATTTTACTGCAACAACTACATATATATGTACATGAAAAATGCCTTTTTATTCAAAAGTCAATCATTGTATTCCTATTTAACCTATTAAGCGATTTTTATATATCTGAATAATCGTTATATTCATTTTTGGCAAAGTAAATAAACATAGGGCTCACACAAGGATCAACTTTATTGAAGACTTTTTGTACTGGTATATGCCCTGCAGCTCTAAGAGCAATTGCGATTTTTAGTTGAAACAAGCACAATACCATCATTTTATTTAATATTTAACAAATAAAATTGTGTTAAACTTAGCATTTTTTTTAAATCATCACTAAATATGAAAACGTTGTAAATAAAGTGGATCCTTGTGTGACCCTATAATTATTTACTTTTCCAAAAACTAACATAATGGTAATTAAAACATTTAGAAAACATTGAATAGGTAAAATAGGAATATAATTAATAACAACCGCGACTTTTGCATTAAAATGGCATTTTAAGGTCAGAAATGTATATTTCTTCATCATTATTGTTTTAAATAAAAATGACCACACCCAAATACACTATCATACATAGCAATATCAAATATGCCTCTTATTTCATATACTCACTGCTATTATTTGAAAAACATGATTTCTTTCAAACTCATATTTTTGACGGTTGCACCTTGGGGCAAGCCGTTTAGCCCTTTCGTGTCACCTTTTTAACTGCAGACAAGTGAAAATGAAAAGTCAATGAACCAATCTATAATGACTATGGGCCACTTCTTGGTAATCTACCTCAACATCGGTTTAGACTAACTAAGCCACTTTGGAAGCGATTTGGCACATACTAATAGTTTCTTCTCTGCTCGATTATAACGTTCATGAACGTGTTGGCGTCGATTAACTAGTGCACTAGAATGTATGGGTAAAGATCAGAATGCAAATATGGAGTCTATGCTGGATATTAATTGCATTTGTAACATCTCTCCCCTGGGGATGATATTTATATTTTACCATAGGTTCTGGGTTGATCGGAAGATGACACTGATTGTTTTTCTAGATATCATTAAATTGTGCTGCCACCTTTCTATCGGCCAAATACCTATAAGTATACACCTATATGAATTTTACCATAGACTCTCTAAAGGATGCCTGACAATGCTCATTTTGAGGTTTCCAACACAAAGAAGTACGAGTATAGCCTCTTCTAGAAAGCCCATGGTTTTACCAGCCAAAGGAATGACCAACTTTGATCTATTTTGGACTATTTTGACCTACGTTGCCTACTCACTTTTACATTTTACATCCTCTCCCGTCCATCGTCCAGTCGACTGGCACTTCCTCATATAGGACCCAATAAGTGTGTAACCAAGGTTACACTTGAATGTAATAACCGTTCTGTAGAAGAAGCCAGACCCAAACATGCTTCCATTATCTGGGTGGGTTAGTTTAGGGCATTTCACAGCTGCAAAGACAATTTTTGTCAAATCAAAATTAAGAGTAATAAAGAAGAGTAAGCACACTGTTGTTATTTAAGAATACACAAAGGAAAATGACGAAATGTAGTCATCCCTCCATAAATTTGGCAAGCGGAAGTTTTCATTGGTTAGCATTTAAAAACCTGTGATCCAAATAAGGCATTATTGTCCTTATAAGGACTTCCTATTGTCAAACTTATAGAGGGATGTGTATTCATGTACAAGCAATAGTATACGGTTACACTCACCTTCACACCTTGGAGTGATTCCTGTCCATTGGCCGTTACTTTGACATATCCTTTCGGGTGATCCTATGATTGTATATCCACCATTACAATGGTATCTCACCCTACGTGGGAACATGAAGATGTTGCCGTCACGCCTACCATTAGTGACCTCTCCCGGATGTCCGCAGCTCCTGGCTATAATGTGCACGCGCATATCATGAGAAGAGGTACGTAATTTGGCAAGTGGGCTTTTTTCTACGTTGACAGCTTGATGAATCTCAAGTATGATTGGTAGAATATCAACACCATCTGATTTCAATTTGGGGGATGTTTTGGAACTGCGACCAACTATCCTTATTACGATATGAATTGATACTTTTCTGAATTAGTTAATGTCTTTTGATAGAAGGTTTCGTTTTTAAAATGAACTACATGTATATCATTAACATAAGGTGTTGGATAACCATAATAAGTTGATTTTATGATATATAATATGATATGATATGATCGATATGATATTTATGATATGATATTAAGTAAACAATTGCAAGAAAGGCAAAAGCATAGGTCAATGGTCGGGTTATACATACGCGAGCAAGTCATTCTCGGCCCAACCCATCTGCCTTCTTCCATACACATGGCGCGGGCAAAGCCATCACTGTAGAACCCATTCTTGCACATATACGACAACTGCGAGCCGACAGGAAACACCTTTAAATGTTTCTGTCCATCGTGTATAGCATTTGCAACAGCGGGGGGTTCCGTGCATCGACCTGTGGACGGAAAGACATTCCTCGTATTATTTATTGTTTAGATGCAAATTTTATGAGACGTGATCGTGTTCTCTTAATCGTCTACCATTTCATAGGATAAAATATTAAATGTCATGGGAATCTCAAATGCCAAGACAAGATAATAAATTATGGGAGCCACATGTCCTTTGGGATTTCCTCCACAATAAATATCACTGTATTGTTTTCAAAGTGTATATCAAAATATTCTGTTTTTTCAATATTCGTTTTTAACTAGACTATCTATAATTTGATTTTTCAATTGTATAGTTTCTAAATAGCTGAATAACGCTGACATTATAGATGTCATCCTTGTTTGTCTTTGATTTTCTTGGGCCAGACCTCCATTCACTCCAATGCTAGGAACTTGGAATAGTCACTTTTCATGATTTTTCAAAAAGTGTTGGTTGAATGTCTGAAACTCGAATGGCTGCATTGACGTTTGTTGGAATAAACGTCATCATATAAATCATTCTATATCAGAGAAATGAATTCAGGATTTGACATACAAGAACATTGCATTTTATACGATATATTATGCTACCCCCATACGTAGAATCACGTAGAATGTTAAAATGATTATAGTTACTTCTTACTGACTAACTGGACATATTTAATATTCGTGAAAAAGTTTTAAAATCAATCCGAACCGTCATATACGCGAAATCATTATTCCTCTTTTTATCTCGAATGAATTCTCCCTTTAGAATGAATTCAAAGTAGAACCAATGCTGTGTTCGCAGATTGGTTATACGGATGTAGGAACTGGGAAGCTAAGTTTATTTTACCATCACTCTCGCAGCTTGGAGGCTTGCCACTCCACTTCCCGTCTCCTTGGCAGATCCGACTTGGTTGTCCGTATATCACGAAGCCCTCGTCGCAGAGGTACTTTGCCTTGGCGCTGAATTTATTGTAGGGCACTATTTCGACATAGCCGTGTTCTAACTTTTCAAGTGGTTTGCATCGCTTAGCTGAAAAAGAAAATTAGGGCCTCATTCAAGATAGTCCAGCTAACTTTACGGAGTTTCTTCAAAGGTGCGCCCCATCTGGATAAAAGAACCTTCGACTTCCAAGGTGTTATAATTGAAACCTTGTGAATCAAGATGGATAAAAGACAAAATATGGTTTCATTTTAAGTATAAAAAAAGCTCTCAAACAATGTGAGGAGATTAGGCTGTATAACCATGATCCAATATTCAATCAACAAATTACAAATACGATTGGTTAAAATCTTAAATATCTCTAGCCATCTTTTTAAAAATGGTAAAATGAACTTTTAAAAATCTTTAAAATTCAATTTCAAAAAACGGCAAATATCTAATTTTGTCCATGCTAAATATTTTAGGTTTACGGTAACGTGTTTGGAATACCAGATTACCTTGATTACAAATTAGGATCGATGTTAAATCATGCAAAATAAAATAATTATGAGATCACATATAACATCGACGAATTATTCTGCTCCATTGCTCAAGGTTAGCCGGTGCATTGTTTAAAAACCCACTATGTGAACCAAGAGGTCTTTGAATTATCCCGAAACATAGCGACGAAAGGGTCTAATAAAGAGCAACTTTATCGACCAGTTTTAATTAAGTGTCATAAGAATAAATGAGACCTCCCTAGACTAACCTTTTACATCATTAAACAAAATAACACCTTCCGAATGTTTCCCGGTTCCCACCCTTGGGTGCTTGGTATTGGCGATCTACTTACAATGTAAACTGTTCAAGTTCGCAAGAATTTGTTTTTCTAATTTATACCCGTTTAGACTACTTTAGGCTCTGGTTTATTTTTGTATTCATTTTAAAGTAAAGGTATGATTAGTTTTAAAGTAAAGGTATGACTAGTTGAAGCAAAAGTGAGAAACTGAAATCCTGATATCACGGGTAAAATTCTTTTGTTGACCATGATTTACACGATATGAATCCCTAGAAGCCGGTGTAAAAGAAATTATGGTCCCATGGGGATTATGGTCCCCTTTCCTTACGGCTCTTACTGGCCCTGACTGTGTATAAATAATAAGGAAAATAATTGTAATTAGGGCACCATATAAATCAATAGAGAGTAGGACCAAACTTTGATAGGACCACCTACCCTTTTACACCGGTGTAAAAGGGTAGGTGGTCCTATCAAATTATGGTCCTACTTTCCATTGATTTATATGGTGTCCTAAATACAACTCTTTCCCTTATTATCGTATCCACAATCAGGGCCAGTAGCCCCAGGGGACCATAATTTCTTTTACACCGGGTTTGATTTAATTTTTACATATCTAAAAACACACGAGCTCTTTCCCAATGAATAAAGCCAGGCTATAGAGGGGATTAACTATTTCATTAGATGTTAATAACATTGAATCCAAATGTGCAATTTATCCATGGTTGATACAAGCCAATGTAATGTAAATTTAGTCCCTCGGGGCAAGAGGGGTAAGCTTCGTAGCATAGCAATTAAATCCCCTTCAAAACGATCAAATTCAAGTATGCTCCATCAAATTAGTTTTTATTAATTCCAATACCACTGAGTCAATACTGCAGTATCGAAATTGGAAAAGATTAGCAAACAAAATACCAAAATTGCTGCATGTATCATGAATGTGGTTCAATGATGTACTCGTCCAAAATTAACCCAGTGAACTTGCAAATGGAATAACAAGGAAGTTATGGTCGTTACAGTTTCTTTCAAAATAGCAGACGGTAATATAAGTGTAATTTCGATACTCCCAGTTTTCAGCATCCGACGTCGCTCCTTAAAAGAGAGCTCCGTAGTGTTTACACTCCACGCGCATGGTATTGAATTCGGTGCATCATGCAATTACTGACTGAATCTATTTTTTCATTCATGCATGTAACTTGTGGAATTTCGTTTGCGATATATCTCCACAGTTCACACTTTGAACAAATCATTATCACTTTTAAAAAGAAGATAAAAGAATAGATGAAAGACGTTTATCTCAATCATTGTCACTTGTTAAACACTACCGATACCATGGAGATCTATTACAGCTTTAGGACCTACCAATATGTGCATCATAATCTCTTCATGAAAGTGGTTAGCATCCTTAATTAGCCCTATTACCATGTATTGGTCTTAAGATCGATGCGAATAAAGCAAATGTGCTAATACTGAATTTTCCTGAAATCTGTAATGCCCTCTTAAGCAATCAATATGTTCAGAAGGAGGAATGATAAATTAGAGAATCTTGTTAACAGAACTATCTTTCCGTATCCTCCCTCAGAATTGATGTGACATAATAATTATAATCTCGTTAGTTATCATTTGCGTCTTGCATCATATAATAGCATCATTGCGTATGCCCCAAGCGTCGCAGTTTGCCATTTAGTATTGATTAACTCAGAGTACAGAAAGCTAAACAGAATGCGAATGACAAAAGAAGAAAATTGGTGTTGTATTATTTACCATTTTCAATAGCTGAGCGGGCCCCGGGCACGTATTGTTTTATTTTTGAGATCAAAGTTTTTCTAAGTTCTGATGTGTCTTCGAATATCAATTGTATTGATGTGACTCATGGGGTTTTAGATAAACAATTTCAGACCGATGTGATATTAAGAGAGATGCATTGGTCACGCTTAGCCAACTAATGAGAAACCGAAGAGTTGGTCATCGATTATAATAAATCCATGTTAACTGCCAGCATTTATCAACTTAATGAGTCCATCGTCATGTTTTATTTCTTTTGGTTATTGTGGTGTATTAGGTGCAATTTACATAAAATTTGCCGCTTCTATCTCGTAGGTTTTAGGATGACGGTGTATGTGTGAAAAGAATTGAACCAATGCAATATTTGCTGAGTCCGTCTAGGTTAATACCTTATTACATTGAATGAAATTGTGAAAGTGTTTTATGAAAAAATACTACCATTGTCTTTCCATCTTTAATTCAATTGGTTCAGATAAACGAAATAATGTATGTTGATATTGTCAGGGTTCCGTACTGATAATAAACAGAAAGTTCCCATTCAATATTTGGTATTTACACATTTCAACCATTAATTAATTATTATAAATATCTTTATTGTTTGATAATATAACATGAACATATATATGTGATGCTTAAGAACACTTTGGTTAATTAATTGCAAATAGTTTATAGTTGTACAGGGTGACTCAAAAGAATGTGACCCTTTTATTTAGTGATAATGTTCAGGCCCGTAGCCAGGGGGGTTCGCATGGTTCGGGCGAACCCCCCCCCCCCCCCCTGGCCAAAAATTCTTTCAAAATCATGCAGTTTTTCACCATTCTGAGCACTTTTTAAGTGATTTGGGCTCTTTTTGGACCCAAATTGTCAAAAGTGAACCCCCCCTGGAATTTTCCAAAAAGTGAACCCCCCTTGGCAAATCCTGGCTACGGGCCTGATGTTCTCAATCATTGTGCAAATTATTTTTGCATGGAATCGGTGCGTATCAGGTAAGTAAAGAATGAATTAAAGCATTAAAACGTCTGCTTATTCTCCACTTCATAAAGTACAGTTCCACGTGAACCAAGTTTTACCGGCCTCGACGTTTTTCAAATTAATCCTTTATTCTTATTTGAAGGTAGGGCATTTCCGAACAACCGATCACATTTCAGTGAAATTATAAGATACTTTTTCCAAATAAGAAATCATTATAATGGATAAAACAATTATTTGAAATATTCGTGACCAGCATTTTGAATAACGATAACAAACTCGTACCTGATCATGTGCAAACATTCTGATATTGATATCAATTTAGCAAGACAATTAATTGAAACATCGCAAAGCTATACAAGAACACTTGGGGGGTTTCAAATTCAATAAAGGTGTAAGAAACTGCTTTAGCATTGATTTGGTATACTATTTTAATTAAGAAAACGTCCGATGTGTGAATCAAAAGTGACCTTGTGTATCAATTTTGATCAAAGTTCTCGTTTCTGTATCAATTGTTTTTGTAATCTAGTCACCCTATCAGACCGGCTAGCCTACCATTATACGAACAATTGCCGTAAAATTATTATTATCAGTAAAAATACTGTGGCAATCTTTTGATTTTCAATCGAGTTCTATCGTATTCTGATGGCTAAAAATGTTTATTTGTGCACGGGTAACCATTTGGAAACGATCAAGTCCCTAAACCCATACTTCCCCGTCACTCTTATATTAGGAAGACTTCTAGAACACCGAACACAGAGTGACCGATGTCTTGAGCAATGCGCCCGGAGAATGCCATGCGCCAATCATCATTAGCATTTAAATCACCACAGAATCAGTTATCTGTGGGAATAAAATGTGATCATTAGACTTCTAGAAATACAAATTGCCCCATTTGAGATTGAATAATTTGGTATCGATGAAATGATTATCGTATTACACCCAATGGGATGGATTTTATTACGACATAAAATAGGTCGGATTCGAAATCACATCAATAGTGTTAAATAGCTAATCTCTAAATGTCCGATTATTGAGAAAGCTAGAAATGTCTCCTCCCGAAGGAACCATCTCAAAATAATGTGTCCCATTGCGATTTTCCAATCACGAAGATAAAGAGAGTATCTTGACTTTTCAAAACATCCATCGGTAAATTACTAATCCCTAAAACATACCTGGACGGATGAACAAATTGGACTTCTTTGATGAACGACAAATTATCCTAATCTCTAAAGATAAACTATTGATATCGGAGCTATTACATTATTTGTGCTGTAATATATAACTTTGTAAAGTAATTAGTTGTGGACTATAAAAGGAGCACGTAGGTTATCGCAAACAATTTCAGAAGGTTATGTCTTGGATTATGACTATTTTCTGACAATGAAGACAGGTTTATCTTTTAGATCAATTCATTATCTCAAAGAAAATTATATACAGTAATTATAAAGTCAAACAAACTCGGAGATATTTAACTAGCAATCAACCCATCAACACACTTTTTCAAAGATGTTGACCCCATTTTCACTAAAAATGCAATCATTTTTTACAATGTTTAATG